GCCACTGAAGCACAAGTTTGATCTCAGGACAGAGAGGTGACCCACATGGCATAGCAGACCTTTCCTGACTTGCTCGCTGCTCCCTCAGCAGTGTATTTCAGTCAATCTGACTGTTCTTTTCCCCATTCTGTCTCTAGTGAATCCTCTCACCCCCGGACTCTGGCCTGCACCCCAGTTGTATGCATAAATATTTAAAAAAAAAAAAACCACAAAACTGGGACTCCCTGGTGGCACAGGTGGTTGAGCACAGCACTGTGAAGCTGTCTGCAGCCTCTGCAGTGCGGGTTCCATACCTGGCAGGTGGTGAGAATCCCACATGGCACAGCAGACCTCTCCTGTCTCGCCTGCTGCAGCCCTCAGCAGTGTATTTTGGTCAGTCTGCCTGTTCTGGTCCCTGCTCTGTGTCTAGTGAATCCTCTCACCCGCCCGCATATCTGGCCTGTACCATGGTTCTTGTATGCATAAATAAAATAAATAAATCTTTAAAAAAAAAACAAAACCACAAAACTGTGGTTGCTACAGAAGGCAGATTATCCTAAGCAAAGGAAAGTTATCCTAGCCATTCTCTATTATTATTATTTTTATATATTCTCTTCATCAATCTCATCTCCACCCTTTCTTGTGAAGTTTTTTAGACTTGTCTATTTACTTATGGAGTAATGGCATGAAATAAATTTTTTCAAGAGAAATCTTCAATGGAACTTGGGTTGAGGTCTATTTGAAGTCCATTTCTATAGGAGTGGCAGAACTTGGAAGCATGGGTTTAGGTGTTTGGATTTTGTATTCAAACACATAGACAAGTGATTCCTCCTAAAGTGTGATATAAAAACCATATGTTCTGGGGCCTCCCTGGTGGTGCATGGGGTTAAGCACAGCACTATGAAGCAATCCGCAGCCTCTGCAGCATGAGTTCAATCCCCTGGCCAGGGAGCAACCCACATGGTGCAGCAGACCTCTCCTGTTGCACCGCTGCTCTCCTCAGCAGTGTATTTTGGTCAGTCTGCCTGTTCTGCTCTCTGCTCTGTCTCTGGTGAATCCTCTCACCCTCCTGCGCCTCTGCCCTGTACCCCAGCTCTTACATAAAAATAAATAAATCTTTAAAGAAAAGGATTTGTGGTCAGATACGTTTGGAAATATTTAATACCATATCCATCTCTTAGCGTGCATAGTGCATACTGTCATATTAAAAGCCCCGAGAATTTATTTAAAGAAAAAGCCCAGAAGGCGATGAGAAGCCCTTTAGTTTAAGAGAAATGTAGAACTTATTTACCTTACACATTTTTCTAATGTAATTTTATTACGATTTTGAAAGACATTATTATGAATAGTGAGGAGCTGCAAAGTTTCTAAGAGTCACAGATTTTGCTTTTCTGTGAAGTTTTCTTTCACCCTGCCTGGAATGGCATTTTGAACTTCTCCACCTTTTTTTAGTTTCTTCCTTTTTTTCTTTCTTTAGTTTATCTTTTGTTATTGTTGTTTGGTTTTTCAATAGCACACTTTTTATTATTAAATTATTTATTTAGGGCCTCCGCGGTGGCACAGCGGTTGAGCGCTGGGTTGCGAAGATGCCCGCAGCCTCTGCAGAGCCAGTTTGATCCCCAGCTGCCAGGCAAGGATCCCACATGGTGCGCAGACCCAGTGCTTGTATAAATAAATAAATAAATCTTAAAAAAAATTTATTTAAATATGTATTTTTTTACATCATCATTTATTTTTATATAATGTTTGATTTTTCCTCTCAGGTGTCAGAATGACATTTTTTCCCCCTCAGCTTTATGCAGGTATAATTGACAAAACTGTATACACTAAAAGTGTATATGATTTGATATACTTATATATTGTGAAATAATTACTACAATCAAGTTTATGCACCCATCCCCCTTACATACTTAGCTGTATGTGTGTGTGGTGAGAACACTTGATGTACTCCTTCAGCAAATTTCAATTCTTTTTTAAAACTAATTAATTAATTAATTAATACAAGCACTGGGTACAGTCAGAAGCGCCGGAGGGTGAGAGAATTCACCAGAGCGAGAGTGGGGAGCAGAGCAGGCAGAAGGACCGAGGTACACTGCTGAGGGGAGCAGCGGGTGGCAGGAGAGGTCTGCGCGCCATGTGGGATCCTCCTCTGGTAGACTGGGAGCAGCCGGGGATGGAATTGGCGCTGCAGAGGCTGCGGGCAGCTTCGCAACCCAGCGCTCAACCGCTGCACCGCTGGGGAGGCCCAAATTTCAATTTTTATGTTATCTCCTTTAAGGGCAGGAACAGGCACACTGCAGGTTTTCTGATCCCATGCAGACCAGGTAAAGGAGGAGTCAGAGTCCTCAGTGTTTTTTTGCAGGTCTTTTATTGGGATTTACCCGGTACACAGCAGGCAGGGGTGCTGGGGGGCCGGGAGGCTGGGGGGCCGGGAGGCTGGCAGGCCTCCCAGCCCCCAGCAAGTCTTCATTCTATCTGGGCTCTCCGGCCTTCTCTCAGCTTCTGCTTCTCTTGCTTCTCTCTTGGCTTCTACTGGCGTCCCCCTGACACCGCCCTTAAAAAGCACAGTCTTAGTGCAGGTGTACCCACTTCAGGTGCCCGCCATCAGGCATGCATTCAGGATCACAGGGTTCCCTCATCTATCCTGATGGCGGGAGGGCAGAAAAGCCTGATTTTTTACCTTACCCTACACTCCTCTTATAGATGGTCTTAGTATCCTATTCCTTCCCTCAGGATATTTGGTAAAGAACATTTTATGGGTGCCTTTTATAGATAAATAATTGCATAGAAAATTACTTTTTCTTCATGATTGAATCCACTAATATGTGCAAGTAATAACTACCATCTATTGAGTTTCTACTTTCACATGCTTTATTTTTATTAATCAGAAAGTAGATATAATGAATGCGTTTGAAAAGATGAGCAAACTGAGTTTTAGAGGGCTAATTTTCCTAAGGCCACACAGCTTGCAGATCCTGCTGAGTGTGGTATTGCAATCTTTCATAAAGATAAGCCCATTGACAGTTATTTACATTAGATAATAGCATTTACCCATTATCCCGTTTCCACCAGATTTAAAATTGAAAAACTCAGGAGTTACAGCATGTGTTGGTCCTACTTTCTTTTAGTAGTTCTTGAAACAATACTATTCTAAGTTTAATCAGATATGAAAATAAATAATTATCAGCTATTATGATGAGGAGGAACAAATCCTGAGACAGGTTTTCTTTTTGATTTGCCATATGCTGTGGCATAGAGTAATGCTAACTTATTCTTTCACTCAACAAATATCCATGGAGTGTTTATTTTGTACAAGGTTCCAAGTTTGGCAGTGAGAAAGACAAGGCGGAATAGGAAAAAGAACTGACCTTCAAGAAATTGATTATCTGCTAAGGGATATTATAAATATGTAAATAATGTAATTAAGCAAAATGCTCCAAGTCAAAATCAAAGTATAGGAATGCAAAAGTGACATAGATGATTTCTGATTGGGAGGAAATCATATTTGTGTTCTAAATGTGAACATAAACAAGCATATTTAAAATTCAGATGGTTTTCAATCAATATAAATGATTTATTGATGACACACTGGCCATTTTATTTACAAAAGTTCAAGATGTTTTTCAAAATAAAACTTTATTTCCATTTAAGGAAATACCAGAGTTCTCTTAGAGGGTTAAGTAGTAAACATTTTGTAATTGCTAAGATTCACCTGGCACTTGAGAGAATTAAATATAAGTCAATTGTAATCTAACCAGTTGTAAAACTAGGGAGAGCAGTGATATCAGGAGTAGAACCTTGGTGTTTAAGTATATGAAGATACTCAATAATTCAAAGATTTAAAAATTTATTTGAAATGAAAAGATACACAATATTGAATGAGAATAAGCTTGCTATCCATTTATCCAATTTTTAACCTTATGCTATGTCTCACCCTCATGTGTTTTACTTTTCCTGTTGACTTAGAATTTTAACCAGTAAGGAAAAAAGAAAATCTTCATAGTCAGAAATAAAGCCTGGCATTGTTTTGTTCTTCACTTGAGCCTGACTTTAGAACTTTATCTTTTTGATGTTTTTCTTTTATTGGCATATAAACATACTTTTAAAAATATTCAGTCTGGGTGATGGCTCAGTGATTTGAACTATACTTAACCAGTATTAAGAAACTTTATTTTCTTATTGTTCAAACTTAGGAGTGATGAATTCTTAACAATGTTCAAAGGAAAATCAAGAATTTAAATGCCAGATTTATTATCTTGGTGAACATATTTCATATGACGAAAATTAATATTAATTTGCCAGATTTGTTTGAAGTTTATAATTACTAGGATCCTTCCATTTCTAAAGTGGCATGTATTACTGCTATTAGTCTCTTAATGGTTGTTTGGAGGCAGAGTTAATATTAGGTTCTCAGCAAAAGCTATTTATATCATGAGATTCTGAATATTTTATTAATATTTTTGTCTCTGAAATAAAAAGGCCACTAATAATGGTGTTTGTATTGTATTTTCATAACACTGGGACTCAAGAGATCTCTAAAAATACAAAAAAAATCATACAAAAGAAAAAAAATTTCCCTTTGTATTTTTCTCCGCGTGATTGGTTTCATAACAAAACTTAACCACCCCTGCTTAAATATTACCAGTTTCGAGAAAAACCACTAGAATGTTTTCACTGCGTGTGAGTGTGAGCAGGTGTTTTATTTCCAAATGAAGGTAAAAATTCACCAGCACTTTCCCCAAATTTCTCCTCGATTTAAAGCAAGTTCGGTAACAACACTAAGTTTCTCTCGCCGATGCAAAGGGCCGGTGTAGGGAAGTTATTTCCTTTCTCAATGAAAAACACTGAAGGAGGAATAAAAATTGCACGGGGAGGCGGAGAGGGACAGGAAAAAAAAAGAGGTAAGAAAACCCAGCAGTCCTGCCGCCGAGGCCGGCACCACCATCAACCCGCAGGCGGAAATCTCGTTACCTGAAAACACTGAACATTCCAGGTTAGATCACAGAAGAAACAAGCCGAGGAGAGCAGAGTGGGGGGCGGGGGGATGGGTCAGGCCTTGGGGACCCGCCAGCCCCCCAAGGACCACAAAGGGCACCCGAAAACTGAAGCGCCAGAGGGGGCAAGGTCAGAGCCGGCGGCGGCGCCCACAGACGAGCGCGCGTTCCGGGGCCTCCGCCGGCGCAGCCTCCGCAGGGCAGGGGCCTGGGTCGGGGCCGCGGCGGGTCCCTTTGTCTCCCGGCCCCGCCGCGCCGGCCGCCCGAGCGCGCTGAGGGGCGGCGGGCCACGCGCCCGGACGCCTCCCGCGGGCCGCGCCATGCGCTCGGAGGCGGGGCTGGCGCGGCCGCCGGCGCCGCGGCCCAGCACGGCCCGACTCGGCCCGCGCGGTGCTTCCCAACTTGCCCCCGGCCCGCGGGGCTCCCCGCCCGCCCCCGCCGCGACCCGCCACACGCCCTCGGGTTTCCCGTCAGCTCCCCGGGCCGGGGCGGGCGTGAGGCGCCGGGAACGATGTGGCCGCCGCGCCGCCGCTTTGGGCGCGAAGGTCGGGCCCCTCAGGGCCCGGGTCCCCCCCGCCGAGCGACACGCCGCCAGGGCCGGCTCTCCGGGGCCCCGCCGGGGACGGGGGGCGGAGGGGCCGCGGCGGCGCGGCCGGCCGGGCGGGGACTCGGTCTCCCGAGGGAGCGGCAGAGGCGGGAGCGCCGCGGGCGCGGGTCGCCGGGGCGGGGCTCGGGGACGAATCAGAGGTCGTGGCGGGGCGCCGCGGCGCCGGGGGAGGCGGAGGGCGGCGATCCACCTGGACGACGTGGCAGCGCGTCCCCGCGCCCCGGCTCCCCTCCCCATTCGGCCGCCCACCCGCCCTCTCGCGGCCGCCGCGGCGAGCCTGCTCTTCCCCGGCCGGACGGAGAGCGGCAGTGTCTCCCCGCCCGGCGCGCGCCGCGCCTCCCCGCCCCCCCGGCCGCGCCGCTCGCGAGCCCCGCGCCGCTCCGGAGAGCGCAGTGGCGGCGGCGGGAAAGGGCTGCGGACCCGCGTTGCCGCGTCGCGCGCTCGACGGCGCGCCCGGGCCTCGACGCCCTCCGCCCGCTCCCGGAGCAGGTAAAGGCGGCGGGGGGAGGCGGCCCGGCGGGGCCGGGGGAGGGTCCCCGAGGGAAGGGGTTCCGGCGCGCCGAGCCCGAGCGGAGGGCCCGGGGGAGCGGCGGGGGGCGCCGCGACCGAGGCCGCGAGGGCCCGAGCGCGCAGGCCGGCGCGGGCCGCCTTCAGTCCGACCCCGGGCCGGGCCGCCCGGACGGAAGGGAAGTGAGGCGCCGGCGAGAGGCGGGCCCTGGCGCGCAGCCCGAGGCCGGGCGAAGGCGGGGGCCGCGGCTGCTTCCCGGCCTCCCCGTGCCTGGCCGTCCTCCAGGCCCCAGACACACCCCTCGGCCCCCCCGCGCCCCAGGCTTCTGCCCTTTGGGCTCCCGCGGGCACTTGACCTCGTGCCCCTACGAGCGCCTTTGGCGTTTCCCAGGCGGAGCCTTCTTGGAACTTCAGGCCACCCCGTCCCCGGCGCGGGGTCCCCGTAAAGCCGTGCGCTTAGTTCTTAGGATCCCAACACTACCTCCCTCCGCACGCTGGGGTTTGGGGTACCGCGGGGAGACGTTCCTGGCCCCCTGGTGTCTATGCTGCTTGGCCCCGCGTCCACACGACCCTCGCACCACAACTTAGAGCCTCCCTGCGGCCTTATTTGAACCCCACTGTCGTGCGGACCCTTCCCGAGGTGCCCCTTTGGGAATGCGTCTTCGCTCGTGAGCCCTTGTACCGTGGATAGAGTTTATTCCTCACGCTTTTTTTGTTTTGTTTTGTTAAAACAGTGGTTTTCTTCAGAGGGAGAGCGAGGGTAATGACTAGTGTAGAGGCAGATCACACTCAGTTGTTGGCTGTACAGACCTCCCTTTGGGCCACAGCCTTCAGGAGTGGGAGCTGATATTGTGGCATGGACACGTTTGTACACATTCTCGCCATGCAGTGGTTGTAATGTCTCTATAGCACAGTTCTGACTGGAAGGCGGGATTGGCTGCTTTTTCCTACTCGACATCTTCAAGCCAATCAAAAAGCGCTGCTTGCCTGGAGACTGGTTAACTGAGAAAAGGGGGGGATTGGTTGAGCGCCGCCAAGAAAATCCTGGAGATTAACCTGGCTCTCAGAAAACAATGACTGATTTGCAGCTCCCTCACTGCTCCTCCCACTCTTTTTTTTTTTTTTTTTTAAATATCTGCCCATCCCAGCATCAACCTTTTAGTTCAGTTTTAGTGTTTCATTGTTTTTCTCTCTCAAATTCCCAGCTCTACTTTGTAACTCGTTTTAACTCTTCAAATTTCCTTCAAATTGATCCTTCAAATTTCCAAGAATCCTTACACGCTTCAAGGAAATGGAAGCATCGTGTGTTTTTTGTTTTGATAAGCGTGGTTCAGTTTTCTTCCACTGTAGGTATTTAAAGGTCGGAAATTAAGTCAGCAATTTTAAATTCCTATGCCAGAGCCTTTATTCTTTGAGTGACTGTGCTAGGATGGGAGGGCTGCAGTGGTGGGAGTAGGAAGAATAGGCGTGTGATGGCTGCTTTTCTACAAGGAGGCTACAGTTCATAAAAAAAAGACTAATGTGTAAAATAATAGCCCAGTACAAGTCAGCATTCAGTACTTATGAATGTCAGTTTGTATACCTGTTGACTTCATTTGCTTTGAAGGGTAGGGAGGAAGGAAGTACTGCATTTCATAGGAAAATGAGCTTAAATTATGGTAAAGGAACTGAAAAAAAATTAAAAGTAGGCATAATATATACAGTAGAGGATAGGTGCATTTTTTTCTTTAACATTATCTGAGGATTTTCCTTTTAAAATCTCCCTTCATGATTATGCATGTCTTGTGATATGCAAAGCTGTAACCATGTATTAGCTAATGTAAAGTTTAGAAAATAGCTACCATCTTTGCCTGCCTTTCAAACTTTCTGTCTGCGTTGTAGTCTTGGGAAGAATTGTAATCTTGGGAAGAATTCGTCAGGTTAAGTATTGAGTCTTAACAAATCACTATTAAGTGCTTTTAGATGTAGTTTATATCAGAAATGAAGAATTTGAACATTTAATAAATACCATCCCAGGCAATAAGACATGTCATTATCTGTGTCACTCTCATCCTCACTAATGAAAATGGCTAATATATGTCTGTATGCTAAGTAAGCACTGTTTTAAGCACTTTACATGTTACTGTATTTAATTCTCACAGTTCTATGAGATTTGCACTATCATTGCTGTTTTACATAGGAGGAAACAGGAAGTATGAGACGTGTGGAGTTGCCCAGGGTCACCCAACTAGTAAATGGCAGAGCCAAGATTTATTTATTTATTTATTTATACAAGAACTGGGGTACAGGCCAGAGGCATGGGAGGGTGAGAGAATTCACCAGAGGCAGAGTGGGGAGCAGAACAGGTGGATTGATGGAAATACACTGCTGAGGGGAGCAGTGGGCGAGACAGGAGAGGTTTGCCGTGCCATGTGGGTATCTCCCTGGCCGCCTGGGGATTGAACTTGTGCTGCAGAGGCTGTGGATTGCTTCATAGTGTGGTGCTTAAGGTTTTGGGAGGCCCCAAAACCTTACTCTTAATTCCTTTTTTTTTTTTTTTTTTAAATAGAGGCAAAACCTTACTCTTAATTCCTTTTTTTTTTTTTTTTAAATAGAGGCATGTTTTATTTATTTATTTATTTGTTTGTTTGTTTGCTTTGTTTATACAAGCACTGGGTACAGTCAGAAGCGCGGGAGGGTGAGAGAATTCACCAGAGCCAGAGGGGAGAGCAGAGCAGGCAGACTGACGAAGTACACTGCTGAGGGGAGCAGCGGGCGGCAGGAGAGGTCTGCGTGCCATGTGGGACCCTCGCCTGGCAGCTGGGGATGGAACCGGCGCTGCAGAGGCTGCGGGCAGCTTCACAACCCAGCGCTCAACCGCTGCGCCATTGGGGAGGCCCCTAGAATTAGAATTTTTAAAGACAGGAAGGAAATATACATGCTTTGAATACTTGGCACATTTGAATTAGATGTTTCAAATTAAGGATTGATTTTTGGATTAAAAAGGATTTTTTACTTTGTTGAAGTAAACAATCCACTTTTCTTGAGGCATAGTATATGTCAAAAACTTTTATTCGGTCTCCCTAGTGGCCTGGGGATTAAGTCTCGGCACTATTACCCCCATGACCCACCTCTGTGGCCTGCATTAGTTCCCCAGCCAGGGTACTAACCCACATATAGCACAACAGACCTCTCCTGTCCCTTAGCAGTGTATTTCAGTAGATCTGCCTGTTCTGCTCCCCACTCTGTCTCTGATTAATCCTCTCATACCGCACTTCCTCCCTCTGGCCTACCTCCCAGTTCTTCTATGCAAAAAAAAAAAAAAAAATCCTAAAAAAAACTTCAAAAAGAAAAACCTCTGTTAGCAAAAAACGTAGACATATTGAAAAGTAGAATAGTGTATTGAATTCATGTATACTCACTTCCTCAATTCAATATTTTAGCTTTGCCACGTTTGCTTTATCTGTGTGTACTCATACATATGTGAGCTAATCTTTAAAAAAAATATGAGTAAATTTCCTTAATCATTTAAAACTAAATTAGTGGAAGTGAACTTTTATTTGATTTTTCCTTTTTGAGTACCCTCTAGTTGTGTTATAAACATATTTTGGATTTTGATTAATTAAAAAAACTTAAGGATTTATCTTGAAATTTGCTCTTTTAAAAAAAATTATGACATTGGGCCTTCCTGGTGGCACAGCGATTGAGTGCTGGGTTTCGAAGCTGTCCACAGCCTCTGCAGCGCCGGTTCTATCCCCGGCCACCGGCGAGGGTCCCACATGGTGCGCAGACCTCTCCTGCTGCCTGCTGCTCCCCTCAGCAGTGTACTTCATTGGTCTGCTTGTTCTGTTCCCCGCTATGGCTCTGGTGAATTCTGTTACCCTCCCATGCTTCTGACAGTACCCAGTGCTTGTATAAATAAATAAATAAATCTTTAAAAAAAAAAAATGACATTATCGTTAGCATATATCTCCCAGAAAAACAATATTCTGTAGAACTCAAAATCATTGTCATTCCTAGCAAAAACTATTAATAATTCTCTAATATGTAATGCTTATATACCATATTTAGATTTTTCCATTTGTTCCAAAAAATGTTTTTTATTACTGTTTTTTGAATACCAAATTCCAATCAAGAGCTATCCATTGCATTTGGTTATTATGTGGAGAGCTTGGTGTTTGCATGTCTCCTTACAGCCCGTGAGTGTTCTACATTGCTCAGAATGGCTTTTCAGATTCATTGGTTGTTTCAAAGCTCAGATCTCCAGTGAAGAGCTTCCATGGCTGTTTGCCCTCTTTGGGAGACTGAGCTGTCTCAACAGCAGTAGTGGAAGGGGAGACTTAACAATACCTACTTGGCAGCATCCACCAGCAGAAAGCTTTACTTGTTTTTTCCTGTGGCTTACTTTTTGGAATATTATATATATTATAGCTATTTCATGTATTTTCAACTTTGATTTTATTTAGGCTTAGTTTGATATAAATTTCCTTTTATTTTACATAAAATGCATAATTTAAATGTACTTATGTTTTATAGTAAGAAGACATTATGTTGGATAGCAGAAAGAGCTGTAGAGTTTGCAGATATCGAGTGTGGCCTTAATAAGTATGTTGACAACATCAATGTCAGCCAGGTGGTAAGTATTAAAATCATAGAATGTGAGTATTTTATACATAGATTTTCAAGATTTATTTTCAGATTTAAGTGATTAAAAAAAATCTCTCGAGAAGGAAATTATAATCACATGTTGTTTTACTAGAATTTCTCAAAGAGTTTGTGGTTACATAAAACATATTGATCCAAGAAACCCGAAGAACTGTACTGTGGTCCTGGCTTTCCCATTTAATGTGATTTTCATTTCTCAGCTTCTAAAATGCCACTTACTACTCCTTCATATTTGACACATTGTAAGCCATCCGCAAATATTATTATTGTACCTGTTTTATGTATTGAACTATGGCTAAGTGCCAGATTGGATTATATGTTAATCCATGTTTTCACGCAAACAGGGCAAATTGAGGAAATAAACACATTTATATGAAAATATGTCAGTAAAATCAACAGTGAGACTCTGAAATAATTAAGGCAAGATTAGTAAAGGCAATAAGGAGTGAAGGATTATGGAAAGTATTAAAGAGATAGAGAAATACACTTTCCTGCCTTTCTTTGACCGAAAGCTATATACATTGTTCAGCAACTGGCTTTTACCTTTATGAATATATATCAGAGATATTTCTGGTTTCTACGTTTCAGCCTAAATTTTTTAATATCTGCATAGTATTCCAAAGTTTGTTATATTTTATTTCTTCTGACAGATAAATGTATTTTAAGATTATTGGTTATATTAATTTGATTACATTTTCTGTAAATACTCTCTTTTTTGGTAACATGTACTTGGTACCTTGACGAGATTTATTATCTACCCATACTCTTATTACATCATTGTATTGTGTAGTCACTTTGTAAGTAACTTAATCCTCAGTAAAGATTTTTTGTATTGGTTCTTGGTAACATTTGTTTCTGAGGGAGATGTTTTCTTCTTTTTTTAAAAAGATTTATTTTTATTTATTTATGCATACAAGAGCTGGGGTGTAGGCCAGAGATGTGGGGGGCTAAGAGGATGGGTTGGTGATGGGGAAGAGGTGGTGAGAGGATTTACCAGAGACAGAGTGGGGAGCAGAACAGGTGGAGCTGCTGAAATACACTGCTGAGGGCAGCGGCAGGCCAGACAGGAGAGGTCTGCTATGCCATGTGGGTTAGTTCCCTGGCCAGGGATTGAACTTGTGCTGCTGATAGCTTCATAGTGCTGGGACTTAACCCCTTGCGCCACCAGGGAGGACCCTGAGGGAGATGTTTTCTGATTTTGTCTGGAATTATACATGTTTGGGTCCTATAACTTACCTATACTTTCCTTATTAGGCAGATTTTTTTGCTTTTGTTCCTTTTTGATAGTTTTATTTTATTTTTTTTTTTTTCTTTGTTTTTTTTTTTAATAGAGGCATGTTTTATTTATTTATTTGTTTGTTTGTTTCGTTTATACATGCACTGGGTACAGTCAGAAGCACAGGAGGGTGAGAGAATTCACTAGAGCCAGAGCGGGGAGCAGAGCAGGCAGAAGGACCGAAGTACACTGCTGAGGGGAGCAGCGGGCGGCAGGAGAGGTCTGCGCGCCATGTGGGACCCTCCTCTGGTGGCCGGGGAGCAGCCGGGGATCGAACCGGCGCCGCAGAGGCTGCGGGCAGCTTCGCAACCCAGCACTCAACCGCTGCGCCACCGGGGAGGCCCCCTTTTTGATAGTTTTAAAGATTTAAAGTATTATTAATCTATTTGATTGTTACTATCACTTTTCATAGGACTATTCTCCTAGGTAGTTGATACTGAGTATTAGATGGAATATCCTTATTGATATAGAAATTTGTTATTTTCTGGGTTTTTCCCCTATATGTTACATACATAATATATATTTAATATGTAACATGATATGGAAAATTCTTTTAGGGTTGTGTTGATGATGTAAAAGGCTTTTTTTGAGTGGTGTTTATTGGTACATCCATTTTAATGGCAGTATTGACCATTGCCAATCTACTGTTACAGTTTGTTACTGTACTATTTATAGACTTCATGTTAAACCTAATTTTTAAATAAACACTTATTTATGCATACAAGAATTGGGGTGTAGGCCAGAGGTGCTGGGGGGGTGAATCACCCCCACATACCTCTGGTCTACACCCCAGTTCTTCTATGCATAAATCAATAAATTTAAAAAAAAGCAGTGAGATGCCTTTAGTATGGCCATAATAAGACAGTTGGACAGTAACAGGTGTTGAGAAGGATATAGAGAAGCTGGAACTCCCGTATGTTGCTGGTAGAAATTGAAAATGGTGCAGCCACTTTGGAAAGCACTGGAAATTCCTCAGGAGGTTAAACATAGTTACTGTATGACCTGATATATTTTGAACTTAGAACTGGTGAGATTTGCTGAGTTATCAGACATGAAGTCTGAAGAAAAGAGGAGGCAAAAATTATTCTTTTTTTTTTTGGTCTTAACAACTGGAAATTGCCATCAGCTGAAATTAGAAAACTGTAGTTAGGGCAGGTCTGCTGTGCGGATCAGATCACTTTTAGACTTGCCTTTGTTCGGGATGTCTTGTCAGATACACAGAATAGCGATGTTCGGTAGTAGTTTGATGTGTGTGGACCAGAGAAAAGGTACAGGTTGGACATGTCAGTTTGTTAACGTTTTGGTAGTGTTTAAAGCCATGAGACTGAGTGAGATTATTAATACGAAAAGAATGCTAATTCATGGAAAAGAAGAGATACTTGGGCTTAGCCCTTGAGCACACCATTGTTTTCTTGCTCACTGAAGAGAAAATCCTAAATGTCATTGTCCTTAGGAGGAAAATGCATGTCATTTGGAGGAGAGCTCAATTGAGTAAATGCTGCTGTTAGGCCTAGGCCATAGATTTAATTTTATATTTTAATTGTTGATGGTATAGAAAATAATTAACTAGTAACTTTGCTCAATTGTGTGGGTGATCCAACTGATAATCTATAGATTCCTTTAGATTTTATTTTTTTCCATTCTAATTTTTTTTCTTTTTTTTTTAAATTTATTTATGCATACAAGAGCTGGGGTACAGGCCAGAGACAAGGGGGAGGGGGTGTGTGAGAGGATTCACCAGAGACAGAGTGGGAATCAGAACAGGCAGACTGACTGAAACACATTGCTGAGGGGAGCAGCGGGCCTAGACAGGAGAGATCTGTTTCGCCATGTGGGTTGCTCCCTAGCCTGCCAGGAATTGAATTTGTGCTGCAGAGACTTCGAATTGCTTCATAGTGCGGTGCTTAACCCCTTGCGCCACCAGGGAGGCCCTCTTTTTAGCTTCTTAATGTGCATATTGAAGCAGTATGACATCAGTTTAATAAACCTCACTTGATCATGGTGTATAGTTCTTTTTTTATTTTTTTTAATTTTTTTTTTTTAAATATTTTTTTTTTAAAGGCATGTTTTATTTATTTATTTATTTGTTTGTTTGTTTGTTCGTTTTGTTTATACATGCACTGGGTACAGTCAGAAGCGCGGGAGGGTGAGAGAGTTCACCAGAGCCAGAGCGGGGAGCAGAGCAGGCAGAAGGACCGAAGTACACTGCTGAGGGGAGCAGCAGGCGGCAGGAGAGGTCTGCGCGCCATGCGGGACCCTCCTCCGGTGGCCGGGGAGCAGCCGGGGATCGAACCGGCGCCGTAGAGGTTGCCGGCAGCTTCACAACCCAGCGCTCAACCGCTGCGCCACCGGAGGCCCTATAGTTCTTTTTTTAAATGTACTGCTGAATTGTATTTGTTAATATTTTGTTAAGGGTTTTTATGTCTGTATTAATGAATATTATTGATTTGTATTTTTTTTTTAAACTAAACTTGGTACCAGGATAGTACTACCAGCTTCATAAAATAAATTGAAAAGTATTCTCCTATTTTTGGAAGAGAGATTGTTCAGAGTTAGTGTTTAGTTTTCTTTAAAATATTTGGTAGAATTCTCCATTGAAACTATTTAGTTGAAATTTCTTTTTTTAATTTTAAAATTGTGAATTAAATTTTATTAAAAATGACAAGGCTTATCTATTTCCTGTGGGGTGAATTATGGTAGTTTTAGGTTTTTGAGAAATTGGTTCATTTCGTATAAGTGTGTATAGTTATTCATGAAAGTCCCTAATTAGTTTTTTTTTTTTTTAATAGAGGCATGTCTTTATTTATTTGTTTGTTTGTTTGTTTTGTTTATACAAGCACTGGGTACAGTCAGAAGCACGGGAGGGTGAGAGAATTCACCAGAGCCAGAGTGGGGAGCAGAGCAGGCAGAAGGACCGAAGCACACTGCTGAGGGGAGCAGCGGGCGGCAGGAGAGGTCTGTGCGCCATGTGGGACCCTCCTCTGGTGGCTGGGGAGCAGCCGGGGATCGAACTGGCGCCGCAGAGGCCGCGGGCAGCCTCGCAACCCAGCATTCAACCGCTGCGCCACCGGGGAGACCCCCTAATTAGTTTTTTGATGTATACAATTTGTAGTAATATGACATGTTTCATTATAGATATTGGTAGTTTGTATATTCTTTTTTTCTTTGTTATCCTTGCTAGAGGTTTGTCAGTTTTACTGCCTTTTTTTTTTTTTTTTTTTTTAAGATTTATTTATTTATGCAAGCACTGGGTACAGTCAGAAGCGCGGGAGGGTGAGAGAATTCACCAGAGCCAGAGCAGGGAGCAGAGCAGGCAGAAGGACCGAAGTACACTGCTGAGGGGAGCAGCGGGCTGCAGGAGAGGTCTGGGCGCCGCCATGTGGGACCCTCTCCGGTGGCCGGGAACCGAACCCGCGCTGCAGAGGCTGCTGGCAGCTTTGCAACCCAGCACTCAACTGCAGCGCCACCGGGGAGGCCCTGCTTTTTTTTTTTAAAAGATCCATCTTTGTTTCATTGATTTTTGAAAAATTGTCTTTTCAATTTTATTGATTTCTGTTCTTTATTATTCCCTTCCTTCTGCCAGAGTTGGTTTTATTTTACTCACCATTTTCTAGATTCTTGTGTGGGGGGGCTTAGATTATTGATGTAAGACTTTTTCTTTTCTTTTTTTTTTTTTTTTAAATTTATGCATACGAGAGAGCTGGAGTGTAGGCCAGAGGTGGTGGGGGGGGGGGGGGAGAGGGGAGTGAGAGGCTTCACCAGAGACAGAGTGGAGAGTGGGGACCAGAACAGCCAGATTGATCAAAGTAAACTGCTGAGGGGAGCAGTGGGCGAGGTAGGAGAGGTCTGACACGCCATATGGGTCAACTGGGAGAGTGGGGAGATCGAACTCAGTGCTGTAGTGGCTGCTGAGAACTTCATAGTGCACCAGGGATGCCCTTTTTTTCCTTTTCTAATCTACTCATTTAGTGCTATTGTACATTGGTGCTTTTGCAGGGTCCTACAAATTTTGATATATTTTCAATTTTTAAAAAAATTTCATGTGATTTCCTCTTTGATCCATTAATTATTTAGCATATTGCTTAAGTTTCAGTTATTTGCAGATTTTCCTGTTGTCTTTTTGTCATTTATTTGTGTTTGATTCCATTGTGGCAAGAGAACATTGTGTGATTTCAATTCTTTTAAATTTGTTGCGATTATTTTATAGTCTAGTATGATCATAGATCATCAATGTTAACATAGATCATATGGTATATAGACTGGGCACTTGAAAAGAATGTGTATTCTGCTGTTGTGTGGACTTCTGTAAATGTTGATTAGATTTTTTTTTTAAGATTTATTTATTTATTTATAGAAGCACTGGGTACAGTCAGAAGCGCCGGAGGGTGAGAGAATTCACCAGTCAGAGCAGAGAGCAGAGAAGGCAGACTGACGAAGTACACTGCTGAGGGGAGCAGCGGGCGGCAGGAGAGGTCTGCGCGCCATGTGGGACCCTCCTCAGGTGGCCGGGGAGCAGCCAGGGATCGAACTGGCGCCGCAGAGGCTGCGGGCAGCTTCGCAACCCAGCGCTCAACCGCTGCGCCACCAGGGAATTCTTAATTGATGCTATTGTTGAGTTTTGTGTTCTTGCTGACTGTATAGTTATGTCAGTTGTTGAGAGAGGAGTATTGAAGTTTCTAACTAAAATTGCAGATTTGTCCTTGTCTCCTTTCAATTCTATTGGCCTTTGCTTCATATATTTATTTAGTAGTTCCATTATTTGGTGCATACACGTTTAGGGTTACGCTGTGTTCTTGGTGGACTCATCTTTTCATTCATTCATTTAAAGGTTTATTTATTTATGCATACAAGGTACAGGGGTACAGGCCAGAGATGCAGGGCAGGGGTGGGGGGTGAGAGGATTCACCAGAGACAGACTGGGGAACAGAACAGGCAGATTGACTGAAATACGCTCCTGAGGGGAGGAGTGGGTGAGACGAGAGGTCTGCTGCGCCATGTGTGCTGCTTCCTGGCCGGCCGGGGATCGAACCCGTGCTGCAGAGGCTCCAAATTGCTTCATAGTGTGCTGCTTAACCCCTTGCGCCACCAGAGGCCCACACTCATCTTTTTAAATTCTATAATGCTCTTTTTTGTCTCTGGTTATTTGCTTTGAATTCTACTTTAACTGGTATTGATATATAAATTTTTTTTAATTTAAAATTTTGTTTAATTTTATTTAATTTAAATTTAAATAGGCATATGTGTCTGGTGGCTGCCATATTGAGAATGCATTTCTGGAAGATGAAGAGAACTATGACACTATAAGTTTAATTAAAAGGTAAATTTTATAGTATGTTAGACACTGTTAAGGATTGCAATGGGTGGTTAGCAGGAAATGGTGACTGGGAAAGAGGGATAGAGGACTAGGACTTCAAAATGGGTAATCAAGGAAGAAATTGATTGATACTTGAACAAATATTTGAAAGAATAAAAATTTAGCAACGCAAGTATCTTGGGAAGAGTATATCAAGGACTAAGCATGGAGGTGGACAATTACAAGAACTTTAGCTTTTATTGTCAGTAACATGGAGAGCCATTTGACGATTGAGAGCAGGTTCTGGTTCATTGTTATGGTATACAAAGATTATTCTGGTTGGTGTGTTGGAAATAGACTGTTTAGGGACAAAGGTTGGCAGTGGGGAGGCCATTTAGGATACAGGAATATAAACAAAAGATGGTAGTTGACTACCATGTAACCAAATGGCTAGAGTAAATTTTGGGGAAAATATCAGACATTTAGTTTTGGATATGTGTGTTTGAAATGGTTATTAGACACATTTGAGCACAGAAAGAAAATGGGCTCTCTAGTTTACCCAGGCGTTTGAGTCCCTGCCCTTGTGGAGTTTACATTTGCCTAGAGTATGAGTAGTAACAATAAATAAGTAAAATAAATACTATGTTAAAAATGGTAAATTTTATGGAAAAAATTCAAGTAAGGAAAGATTGAAAAGTGGTAAGTAACATTTGAGTAATGATAGGAAGGTGGTGAAGGAATAAATCCTACAGGTACCTGGGGGAATGGTAGTTCAGCTGAGGGAAACAAGAAGTTAAGGTTCCTAGGTGGGAGCATGGGTGGTATGTTTGAAGAAGAGGAAAGAAGTGAAGTGTGACTGGAGTGACATGAGCAGAAGAAAGGGTTAGGGATGACAGCACTGAGGTAATAAGCATCTGGGTTATAGTCCATTTTAAGGGCTCTGGCTTTTACTCTGAGTGGAATGGGAAGCTAGTGGATAGTTTGGCAGAAGAGAAGGATGAGCCAGCCTATGGTTTCACTGAGTCACTTTGATTGCTGTGCTAAATTGACTAAAAGGGTGAGGGTAGAAGCAGAGAGAGAGACTGTTAGAATAATCCAGAAAAGGGGCTGTGTTAGAAGTGGAGATGGTAAGGAATAATTAATATGTTCTGGACACATTTTGAGGATTACAATTGTCAAAATTTGCTTTCTGATTGGATGTGGGATTGAAAGGAACCAAATAACCAAGTTGGTTATTTGGTTCCTAGAGTTATTCTAATATTTTTACTTGAGCAGTTGGCATTAATTGAGATGGAAAAGACTGGAAAGAGCAGGTTTGAAGAAAGTGATCAGGAGCTCTGTTTGGACATGTTAAGTTTATGATGCCTGCCTACTCGACACCCAAATGTGGGTGTTTAGTAGGCAGTCTGATTATAAGTAGGTTTTGTTTTTTTAAAAATGAAATAATGGTATTAAAACAGTGTGCTCACTGTTCTGAAAAATATATTGCATTTGTTAATATCTTATTTTTTAACATGTTCAATCCTGGCAAAACTTGCATACTTTAGAGAAATGAAATCTTTGATTATTTTTTGGTTTTGCTGACAGAGTTGATGGTACTTTCTTAGCGTTAAATAAAGATTTCATTCCGATTTTAGAAATAGAAATGTAACTATGTAGTCTCAGTGTTTCTACTTGCTTTCTATTTTAGGTCCTATTACTGCTGGATTGTGCAAGATATTTAACCCTGTTTTCTTTGAGGTATGACTTAAGTTCAAACATCCTAAATACAAACAGGGAAACATTTTAGTTTTGAAAGTCAGAATGCCAAGGAAAAGGAAAAATCTTGGGGGAAATCCTTTTCGGAAGACTTCAAACTCTAAGGAAGTTGTATCCAGTGTTGCTAGTCATGAGGAGGCAACCACTACTCTCCCTTCCATGTGTGAGACAAAAATTAATCAGGAGGAACTCTTCACCAGTATGTCAGAGATGTTTTCTGATCTGGATCCTGATGTAGTGTATTTGATGCTTTCTGAATGTGATTTCAAAGGTGAGAAAAAGTTTAGTTTGAACTCTTTATATTTTATAAGAAGACTTATTATACTAAGCCATGTCCAGTAGTAATACAGAAAAATGACTCATTTCTGTTTTATTGGGCATCTGCTGTGGTCAAGGAATGAGAATTTGGTGTTATGAGAGATATGAAAAAATACAGTTTCTTCCTTTAAGAAGTCTATAGTTCTAGATGTAAGGTGTATGTATAGATATCATGTTCTGTTTTGTTTCTTTTTCTTCCCTCTAGAAACAGGTTGGCACTGTTGGCATTTGGACCGGATGATTCTTTGTTGTGAGTGGCTCAACGCCATGGTAGGATTTTTAGTAGCATCTCTGGCCTGTACCCATTAGATGATAATGGCACTCCCTGTCCCTGTTGTGACAATTAAAAGTGCTTCCATATATTGTCATATGTTCCCTGGGAGACAAAAATCTTCCTCAGTTGAAAACCACTGTCTTAATAATGTAAGCTCCATAAAGACAGAGATTTTTAAAATTTGGTTTATTTTACACGGTATCCCCAACTCTTGAAATAGCAAATGACTCATATTAGGGACTCAGTAAATATTTATTGAGTGAAAAGGTAATTATAATTGTGGGAATGAGAACTGATTAAGAGTTGAGGGTAGTGGAACAATGAGAAACTGGGCTGGATTTCTAATTCTGCTACCTGACCTCTCTGGGTCTCTCTTGTGTTAAGTATGTACTTAATAGTACATTTTAAGTAAGGATTGAATTTGCTTTTTGTTTTTTATTTTGTGAAGTCTTTATTAAGTTACTTATAACTTATACTACATAGTTTACAAGTATGATTGCAGACAGTGGGGAACTATCAAAGTTGACTGGATAAGTATAATAAATGTTGGTGCTTGGTATTACTCTTATTGCAGATTTGGGAAGTTTTGTTAATGCGTGATGAACTTCCATTTTTATTCATTTCATGAACTATGACATGAGCATATCTTATCTATCCTGTTAGGTTATGTATGTAGAAAACCATTTTTTATCAGTCCACATCGTACTGAGAAATGATAGTGTATAAAATTTTATAAGTGTGATTTCAGTATTTACTAATTTTGATGTCTTTAAAATTTATTTGTTTCAATGTATTCTAATATAGCAATGGGAAATTATAAGAGAAATACTATCCTTACAAAAAACATATTGCTCTTTTATAAGCTCTTCTTTATGCCTTATTCATGATACTAATATTTTGGGTAGTTTGAATAATAGCTTTGATGAAATGTGTTCTGCATTTGAAACTTGAACATTCTTTCAGTGTTGCCATAATCCTTATTTTTAATAGTTTTCTGATATTCCACTGAGTTGTATTGTAATTTGTTTAGTTATATCTCAGTTTTTCATGAATAAGTAGTATTGCCAAGAATGTTTTGATACAAACAGCTGTTGCTTTTGATGTTTTTCTCTTGGTCTCAAAGTTTAACTTTTGTGTCACAGGATAAGAGCAGTTTGTGGCTCTTTGGAAACATACTGCTAAATTGTCTCCTGAAGCAGTGTGCTGATTTATATACTGTATAAGTGTGGTATTTTCACTGCAGTTTTCTCACTATTATATAGTATTTTTAAGGGGAATAGAATCGCACCTTAATTTGTGTTTTTCTTTTTAATAAAGAGGAATGTTCAGCTTTTTTGGTACATGATCATTCATTTTTATTTATTTATATTATTAAAAATTTTTTTTTGCATCATTGTTCATTTTTAAACAATATTTGCTTCCCCCCACCCCCTCAGGTGTAGTCCCCATAGAGTTTCCTTCCCCAAGGCACCCGTGCACCATCACCTCAGTTCCGTGCTCCTCCCCCGCCTCTGATCCCTCTCCCTCATCCTCCCCTGCCATGATCATTAATTCTTATATTCTTGTTTGAATTGTTTGTTTATATGCTTTTTGTTGCTTTATACTATTGTTTTAATTTTTTTGAACACTCTAAGGACTCTTCTTTCATGGACTACAGTTACATCTTGATCTTTAGCTTTGACTCACTACTGGTTTTTATTATATACACTTAAAATTTTCTGGTTGATATTTTCTTTTACAGATTTTCTGTCCATGTAGTTTTTTCATAGAAATAGCTCATATTTTCTTTTCTATTCCTTTCCTTTTTCCTTTTTCTAGCCTTTGTAGTATTGCTATAATCTCCTAACTGGTCTCTCTATCAGGTTTACTCCCTCCAATCCCTCTTTGTTTTTCTTCTTAAGGGAACATTAATTGGGTGCTTACTAGGTGCCAGTCCTTGTGCACAGCACTTTTTTCATGGATAATCTCATTTAATCCTCACAACAACCCTATGAGGTAGGTACTTTTATTAACCCCATATAGTAAATGAGAAAATCAAGATGTAGGAAAGTTAAGTAACTTGTTCAGAGTGTCAGAACCAACAGTAGGGATTTAACTGCCAGTGTTCTGACTCCAGGCCAGAGCTGTTAGCTACTGTACTGTTTCCATATTTACTTTCCTTAAAAGAACTCACAAAAATTAAACAAATCTCCAAATTCCAAATGCTTAACAATTCAAGTAGCCAACTATTTGTAACAGAAGGAGCTCAGCATTGGAGTCAGACATAGTAGTTCTGGCTCTATCACTTATCTGTGTGATTTGAGCCAAATTAATGTACTTTTTGAACTTCATTTTCATCATTAATTTGCTCAGCATGTTATACCTCATAGTATTATTTGAGGATTCATTGAGGTGATGTTTATAAAGCTTCTAACCAAATGCTATGACAGGAGATTTCATGTCAAGTTCCCTCAGAAAACAAAATTATATTTCTTACATGACATGCAGAACCCTTACTAATGTCACATCCCTCTTCCTTGCTAGTTTTAACTCATTTAATCCATTACTATCCTGTACCTACACTCTAACCAACTTAATACTTTAAACATGCTTTGTATTTTCAAGACTGGCTTTGCATTTCCCTTCTGTATCCGATAAGTTTCTTTTTAATCTTCAAGTCCCAGCTCACAGGGAATCCTGACACCTGCAATGCCTAATCTCCCCAATTTGTATCTCATTTCACTGTTTCCTTAACCCCTGACAAAAAAATGAGAAAACTTTCTTTACTTTCCTGTAAGACTGCTATAAATATTTGTATATTATTAAAGGTGTCTATCATTTAATCTGTATTATAATGTAATTACTTTTATTTTCATTAGAATGCAAAAATCCTTTAAATGTAATAAAAACTGTCTTACTTTGTACAAAGTATGTCTGCTATGGAATATATGCTCAGACATTCTTTGCATTAAGTGAAATTCATAGCATGGACCATATAGACAGTAAGGTTTATTAGGAGTTTACTATCAGGAAATTAGTTTTAATAGATTGTGCATAGGTAAGTATTTATTTATAAATCTACTTGTTTTAAGATCTTTATAAATTAATCCAAATAATTACAGATATTTTTACATTTACTAAAAAATTTGTCAGGTATATCTACTTGATGGCAGTTTAGTAACCTATTATTGGTGTCTGAAAGTAACAACAGTGCCTGTTCATCATTTAGCTCTTTCACAATATAGACTGTTAAATTAATAAAATGTTATTGAAAACGACTACAATTTTTTCTATGTTCCATTTAGTACATAATCCTGTAAAATTTTACATGGATTTTCATTAAATTATATTTTACTTTCTTTAATACATATATATATTTGTTGTTATTGTTGTTCTATTGTTGTATAGTTGAAAATGCCATGGATTGTCTATTAGAATTATCTGCCACTGATGCCACGATAGAAGAATCTCCTTCAAAAAGCTGCATTGCTTCTGGGAACCAAGTCAGTGCAGTGGGAAGTGAAATAATGGAAAAGTGCCCTCAAGAAGAGATTGAAGATTCAAAAATGGATTCATTTTTGGACATGCAGCTAACTGAAGATTTGGATTCCTTAATACAGAATGCTTTTGAGAAATTGAACACTTCTGATGACCAGGCATATTCATTTTTGCCTTTGCAAGATGTTAATAGTTTTAGTGGCACAAATGCATTTATAAATTTGGATTCAAGTAGTATGACTTCCATTCTTTCTACACAAAATACAGATTTGAGCAATGAAAATTTAGAGAATTCTGCATCTATATTAAATTCAAACCCCTTAACTTCACATTCAGCTTCTAATGAGTCTGAAAGTTTTATAAAGGATAACACCTTGACATTGGAAGATTCTCTTCTCAGTAATTCTCTAAATGTAGCAAATGAGACTACCGTGGACTGCAGTAATTTTAGTCATCCACAGAAAGACCTATTAGAATCTGAGGGTTTTGAGGTTCAGTTTTCTCAAGACCCTGTAGATTTGGATGCCAACAAACCTCAGGCACCTTTAAACCTCACTTTGCAAAATCCAGCGCTTGGTTTACCAGGTATAGCTGGGGATCAGAAATCTACTTCTGTTCCTGATGTGTTTGTACCACCTGAAGAATTTAGTTTCAAGCCACACAAACACGCTGACCTGGTACCAACGGGGAAGGATGTGAATTACTGCCCAGTACTTACCCCTCTCCCTCTGCTGCTGCCTCCTCCTCCACCACCTCCGCCAATGTGGAATCCAATGATTCCTACCTTTGACCTCTTTCAAGGAAACCATGGCTTTGTAGCTCCTGTTGTAACCACAGCTGCACACTGGAGACCTGTCAACTATACTTTTCCATCACCAGTTATTTCCCCAACAAAGGTTTGGAGGAATAAAGAGGGAACAAGTGCTTATCAAATACAGGAAACTCCAGTTTCTCAGGTTGTAAGAAAGAAGACATCTTATGTTGGACTAGTTCTTGTTCTTCTCAGAGGGCTTCCAGGATCAGGAAAATCTTTTTTGGCAAGGTATGAAGTTTAATTCAGTTTTAAAAAAGTAATGCATAAATCTGAATCTCTGCGTTTATAACAGGGTGTTTGAAATGTGAAATGCTGTTGCTTTCTAGAGATGCTTAGTGACCCCTAAACTTTTCTGTTTACTCTTTCCCCCTAACTTTGTAGCTTATAACACCACTTTCTCCAGAAGTTTTTATTGAATTCTTTCAGAATAATCAATTTTGAGTCAGAATAGATGAAGAAATTATACATGATTGCAAGATTGTGACCTTGTAAAATAAACAGAAATAACCTTATGTTAAGAAAAATAGTTTGAGTGGAAAGATGAGCTCAACTTTGTTATAAAGAGCTATAATTGATTTTGAATTCAAGGAAATCTTAACTACAAAATTTCTACTGGTTGTTAGGAATTTGGATTGTAGCATGTTGTTAAATAGTACTTTCAGAAATGTGTGATTTGAAGGAAGAGAGCATTGGATGAATCACTGGCCATCAGAGAACTTTAAATTTTAAATGATTTTTTTTATTGCAAAATATGATACCTTTAATTATTTTTTTAAACAAGATTTATTTATTTATTTATTTATTTATTCAAGAACCAGGGTACAGGCCAGATGCGCGGGAGGGTGAGAGGATTCACCAGAGACAGAGTAGGGAGCAGAACAGGCAGATTTACTGAAATACACTGTTGAGGGGAGCAGCGGGTGAGACAGGAGAGGTCTGCTGTGCCATGTGGGTTATCTCACTGGCTGGGGATCGAACTCATGTCATGCTGGGCAATGGCTGGTGATAGCTTGATAGTGCTGAGACTTTAACCCCTGTGCCACCAGAAGGCCCTCCACTTGTTTTTGATAAGCTTTTTTGGTCTAAATTTATCTTCCAGTAAATATCCACATTGTGCTCACACACTTATAAGCATATTCTTTTGTAGACATAGCTTTTCTTATTTTTATTTGATAATAGAACAATAATAAATCATTTGAATTTAATATTATGGTTACTACAGTCAGCCATGAAAATGCGTTTCATGAAAGTGATTGGAATGGAAGCGATCCTTAAAGGTACTACTAGAGCTGTAACACAGGTTTGAAGTCTAGGTTTCAAGGTCTTTGGAACAGGAACAACTAAAAGTTAGAGAAGGGAAGAAAAGAAGTGCTTGTCACAAAGTAGACACTTACTAATATTTTTTGAATAAATAGAAATAACTGGGATATGCAGAGAGACCGGTCCATAGTATTAAACTTGTGTGCAAGTTCCAGGAAAAATGAGAGGTGGAAAAAGGCTTTTGGATTTATTAGAAAGAAGGTCATGAATGCATATCTTAAAAACAATTTTCTTGGGTTGTGAAGGTGGACGACAGAAGGGTAAAGGAAATATTGGTACTGTTGAAGTTATGGGAAGGAGGAAAGTTGGGTTGTAGTTGCAAGGGGTCCTTGAATGGTTACAGTTTTTTAAGATGGTTTAGATGTGTACATGTTTAAAGTGTGAAGAGGAAGTATCAGAGAAGGGAAGACTTAAGAGAAAGGGAGAGGATTAAAGTAAGAGCTTTACAAAGTAAGCCTAAAATGGAAAGATAAATACTGGATCTGTCACTTCTATAAGGAATATAGAGAAACCAAAGGGTCAAAGACAAACTATAAAACCAACCCTTGAAAACTGGCCATAGATGTGAGGCGTGCATCAGTGGAGTGGGGGTTGGGAAGCACAGTGGATTTTCATGGAGGACTCTGGGTGCTTGGGTGTTGGGAGTGCTACTGTGACTACACCGGAGGGAGGAAATCCTCGACTGTCCAAACACTAGCAAGGATGTAAAACAATGGTACTTCATTTCAGAGAAAAATTACAACAATAAAGTAGGAGTCTTAGAAAGGTAAGGGTATGTGTGAACTCCCTAAGTGTAAGAATTTTTGTTTTTGTTTGCTGATGTATGCTCAGAGCTCCAAACAGTTCCTGGCACCTAGTAGATACTTATGAAAATTAAATTCACAAAGATTATATCTTTAGATATAATTGTACACATTTTAGGAGGAGAGGATAGTGATATTTTACAAGTGGTCAAAAATGATAGCATTTGTAATGTCTCCATGAATTTTGTCTGCCTAGTTTTTGTATGTACCTCAATTATGTCAAATATAAATTCTAGATTCAGGAAAGGGAGATGTCAAAAAAAAAAAAACCCACAGAATTATTTTAACTTTGTATAATATAACAGATTAAATTAATAGACTGTAATCTTATTTTTGGTTGTTTTTTGCTCACTCACTGGATATATAGCAGTATACAAATAATGTTATCATCAGTTTTTGAGTATCTGTTGAGTATCAAGATACTTGCCTACCTTGAAGTGACCTTGTACTTAGAGTGGGTGAAGTAGACCAGATAAGGGATTCTAAGACCAATATGAGTTCTGAAGCATTTTCAGTTACTAGTGTTCCTTCATAATTAACCATTTGTCAATCTTGAAACTTTTATTGTTAAGGGTAAGATGCTGTATAATATTAAATAAAAGTTTCTGAAATAAAAATTTACATAAAGCAAAATAGACTTGCCCTGCATAAGTTTTCTTGGGAGTCAAACTTTCTTTTAAGGAGTTTCTAATATGATTTATTTAAATATTGCAATATTCTCACTCTTTTAATACTTGAATATATCTGGGTTGTGAGCTTATAAAAATTGGAGAGAGAATTTACAAGAAAAATTAATGAAAATTATTCATTTATCATTCACAGGACTTTGCAAGAGGATAATCCAAGTGGCATCATTCTTAGTACTGATGATTATTTTTACATAAATGGACAATATCAGTTTGATGTAAAATACTTAGGAGAAGCACATGAGTGGAACCAGAATCGTGGTAAGAATAGATCGCAGATTCTGGGTAATATTAAGAATATACTGAGTGTTTGTTTTTTGAAAAACATGTAACTTTTAAAAAGTTAATTACCTTTAATTCTCTTTTATAATATGTAAAAAATTTTAGCTGTCAATTCTTATGTTACAAAATTATGGGTAAATGAGATAGTCTGAGGGTTGTTAGGAAGATCAAATGAGTTAATTTTTTTAAAATACTTAGAACATTGACTGTCATGTTTATGTTTGATTTTTACCAATGGGGATCTCAGCAGAAGTAAATCAGATTTTCTCTTGGGGTCTGAGAATTGCTGAAGATGGTTGCAATGCTGTTTCCTAAAACAGAGTTTGCATTGTTAACCATTAGCTTCTCCTAGATGGGTTTCATTTTTTAATAGATGATAGTGTGAAAGTAATGACTTTTTCTCAAAGTGAATCTGCAGAGAGATCATACATAAAAACTTATTTTCTTTATTAGTGTAGCTGTTTATTCGCTGAATATATTTTTATCATGAATTGTTTAGAATTTTATATGGGGAATTTTTATTAACATATATAGACAATATTTTACTTAACCTTTATGATAAATGTACTTTGAAGGTGATTTTTCAGGCATTGTTACATTTTTCTGTATTTTTTCTTCAACTAAATATTAGTGAGAACTCAGGAATGTAAAAATACCAATACAACTAAAATTAAAGGAAGTGTGTGATGTGAAGAGCAATCTTGGATTTGCCAGTTACTAGTTTTATTATCTTGTGCCAGTTTTTTATACTCTCAGGTGTCTTCATCTGTAAAATATCATAATAATGCTTAACCCCCTGGAATGATACAAAGGTTGAATGAGAATGAAAATTGCTTAGCAATAGTGTAACATGCCCTTACTGCGGCAACAGCCATGGCAATAATATTAAATGAATAGGTAGAACTTTTAAAAACAGATAATGAGATATAAATCACATGGTTTTAGTATATTCAGAGAGTTGTACAACTATCGACGCAATCAATTTTAGAACTTTTTTTTAATTGCCCCCAAAAGTTCTCACACCTAATAACAGTGACTTCTCATTTCTTCCTAACCTCTCCCAACCGTAGGCTATCATTTTAGTATTTATCATTCAGCATTACCTATACTTTAATTTTTCACACACTCAAAGGTATTATTTAGGAGTAGACTCGTTACAACAACACGGAAACAACTTAAGTATTCATTAATGGATGAGTGGATAAAGTATGATAGGCACACACACAATGAAATATTCATCTAAAAAAAATGAAATCTTGCCATTTGTGACAACTTTGAGAGTATTATACTAAAAGAGAAGTCAAATAGAAAGACAAATAACTATATAATCTGCCTTATATGTGGTATCTTTTTTTATATATATATATATTTTTTTTATGTAGTATCTTAAAAAGGAAAAAAAAAACCAAACTCATAGATTTTTCTCTACCAGATTTTGGTGGTTCCCAGGGGTGGGGGTCGGAGGAAATGGGGGAAGGGAGTCAAGAGATAGAAACTTCCAGTGATGTGATAGATAAATCATGGTAATGTATTGTACAGCATGGTGACTACAGGTAATAATACTGTATTGCATAGTTAAAAGTTGCTAAGAAAGTAGATATTAACAGTTAGCACAAAAAAAAGATACTCTGTAACTATGTATGATAATGGATGTTAACTAGACTCATCGGGTGATTATTTTGCAATATATATAAATATTGAATCATGTACACATGAAAGTAATGTTGTAGGTTAATTATATCTGAATTTAAAAAAGTTGAAAAAGTAGAATTGCATAATCAGTGTATAGCTATGATTTTCAAATTATGAAAACAAAATCAGGTTTTTATAATATCAAGATAATACTTAGAATTGTTGTTAAAAAAATTTGTCATTTTCTGTTTGTGTTTTCCAGCCAAAGAGGCATTTGAGAAGAAAGTATCTCCTATAATAATAGATAATACAAACTTACAGGCATGGGAAATGAAGCCATATGTTGCTTTGGTTTGTACCATAAGTTGTCATAAGTCTGTATTAGTGGGTTTGAAGTTACTGCGAGATGTTAATTCCAGAAGTGCATCTCAAGCACAGTCCTTGGACTGTTTATAACTGAGGTTTCTTTAGTCTTTAGCAAAATGAGTTTTTCTGTAAAGCTAAATATATTCAATTTTCAAATTTTGGGATTTAATATTTAAATTCTGAGATCTGTTTTTTGATTTTTGATGTCTTCTGATTTTTGATACCTTTGGATGAAAAGTTAACAATGGTATTTTGTGTTTGTGTGTGTGTATGTGTGCATATATACTTAATTGTTTTTACTTATTGCTCTTGGCAGAATAAAAACATGGTGGTCCTTTGTTATTCCCCAATTTCTTTTAAAAATTTGCTATTTTGAGAAATCCAGACTTCTGTAAATTCAACTATTTCCATTGCTAGTTTCCTCTTTTTTTCCAGCTTGAAGTCATTTTTTTTTTTCCCCAGGAAATTAGCCCTCAAGTTACTGAAAAGTTGAATTGGGTCCTTTCTGCTTTCATGGCATCCTTGCTTACTTCTGTTATGGCATTATGCATACTGTTTTTAATAAGTAGGTGATGGGTGCCTCCCTGGTGACGCATGGGATTAAGTCTCAGCACTATGAAGCAGCCGCTGCAGCATGAGTTGGATCCCTGGCCAGGGAGCTCACCCACATGGTGCAGCAGACCTCTCCTGTCTTGGCCACTGTTCCTTTCAGCAGTGTATTTCAGTCAGTCTGCCTGTTCTGCTTCTCATTCTGTCTCTGGTGAATCCTCTCACCCCCCCTGTACCTCTGGCCTGTACCCCAGCTCTTGTGTGCAAAAATAAATAAATCTTAATAATAAATCAGTAGGTCATGGATTTGCCAAATTTTTCCTTAAGACTCCAGATAGTGAATATTTTCAGCGTCACAGGCACATGTAGTCTCTGTCATATATATATATTTCCTTTTTAAACAACTCTTAAAAGATAATCACCATCCTTAGCCCCTTTGTTACTCAAATGCTGGCTGGTGGGGCTTAATTAGACTTTAGGCCATCTATAGATTCTTGTGAATAGGGCTATGTGATCTAACCAATAACAGAAGTGAGGTGTTGAGCATTGACAATGGTGGGATTGTGGAAGGAGCAGGAAGACTAGTTAGAGGGCTACAGCAGTAAAGTAAGACATTATGTAACTCAGACCATGATAGTAGTGAAGGTGATGGTAAGTAGTGATTAGATTCCGCATGTGTAGTGAGAGTAGAGCTAACTGAATTTCTTGTTGAATTGATACGGTTGTGAGAGAAAGGCGGGAATCAAGTATGATTTCAGGGTTGGCTTTGGGCTCATGTAATTGAAGGTTGTCATGGGCTGAAATGGAGAAGGATTTAGATAGACTAATTTTGGAGTAGATGGGGCATGGATTTAAAAGTTTGGATTTGAGTATGTTGTTTGTTGAGTAAATAGTTGGATCTTTGTGTTTGGAGTTCAGAAGTGAATTCTGGCCTAAGATATATTTGAATCTTTACCATATGGATGATATTTAAAGTCAAGGAATGGACTGTTTTTTTTTGTTTGTTTGTTTGTTTTTCCCAGCCACGAAAGTGAATATAGCTCAAGATTGGACTAAGTCTGGGCATTCAGTTGTGAGAAGGGGTTTGGGTGTAAAGGAAGGACTAGCAAAAAAAAAAAAAAAAAAAAAAAAAAAAAGACTGAGTATCCACCTGGTACAGAGGAGGAAAAGCAATGTGTGTAATGAAAAAAAATGTAAGAGAGTGATGAACTGTGACAAATGCTGCTAAAGTTCAAGTAAGAGAGGACTTGAGACTTAACCTCAACATTTTTCAAGGTTGACAAATTTGTCGTTTCTGTTCTTGGTACTCTAGTGGAGTAGCCTATTAGAGTAAGTTTAAGAAAGGTCAGGAAGGGAATTGGAGATAGAATATATTAATTATTTTGAGATGTTTTCCTGCAAATGGGAGCAGGGAAATGGTAAAATAGTTGACAGGGAAAGTAGGATTAAGAATAAAATGGGTGAGTCCTCCCCGGTGGCACAGCGGGTTGAGCGAGGCTCCTTGAAACTGTCTGCAGCCTCTGCAGTGCCGCTTCTTTAAAAAAAAAAAAAAAAAAAAGAGAGAGAGAGAGAATAAAATGGGAGAAATAGCTGAATATGATGGGAATCAGTTTAGAAGAGAGGGAAAACTAGTGATCCTTCAGAGAGATGGGAAAAATGCTAAACCCAATTATCCTAGAGATGGATAGAGGAGATAGATGTAGTATACAAGTATTGTAGAGCTGGTTTTTCGATTATAGCCTTATCAGGGTTTAGAAAAATAGAAAAGCAGTTATTTAAAATTTATAAAACTATGAAAAATTTAATTTTTAAATTTTTAATCTTAAAAAATTAAATAAAAATTTTTATTCATATAAGAACTGGGATGTAGGCCAGGGGTGTGGGGGGGTGAGAGGATTCATCAGAGACAGAGCGGGGAGTAGAACAGGCAGATCTACAGAAATATACTGTTGAGGGGAGCAGCCGGTGAGACAGGTAAGGTATGCTGTGCCATGGGGGTCAGTTTCCTGGCTGGGTATTGAACTCACGCTGCAGTGGTGGGTGAGAGCTTGATAGTGCTGAGACTTTAATTCTTTTTTTTTTTAAAGATTTATTTATTTATGCATACAAAAACTGGGGTACAGGCCAGAGGTGTGGGAGGTGAGAGGATTCACCAGAGACGGAGCAGGAAACAGAACAGGCGGATCGACTGAAATACACTGCTGAGGGGAGCAGCAGGCAAGTCAAGAGAGGTCTGCTTGCCACATGTGTTGCTCCCTGACCTAGCATCGAACTCATGCTGCAGTGGCTGCGGATAGCTTCATAGGTTGTGTTTTAACCTCTTGCGCCACCAGGGATACACTGAGACTTTTGCGCCACCAGAAAGGCCCTATAAAAAAAAATTTAAAATAAAAGATAATTTTAAAACTATTTATACATCTGATAAATATACAGACCACAAAAAAAAGAATGTCTAAAGGCCTACTCTCTAGAGATAGATGCTTTTAATACTGTTTTTGATAATCTCTGTAGCAGTTTCTATACATGTACAAATATGTGACTAGTCCTTTCTTACCCATGTGAAAATTCTGTATGTTACTTTTGCAGCAGTTTATGTTAAGGGCCTTCTTTCATTAACACATACAAAATACAAAAATGATTGTATAATATTTTCATTATATGGTTGCACCTTCATTTATTTAGCTAATTTCATATTAATAGCCACTAAGTTGGTTGTATTCTTTTGTTATTACATTAATAGTGAAGTGGATATCCTGGTTGTGTATATGTCTTTTTACTCTTACACAAATGTTAGCGTACATTTATAGAAGTTAATTGTTAAGTCAAAGAGATTGTGCATTTTACCAGTTTAACACATTCATGAATACTGGAAAATCTTTCAGTTTTAACATGCCATAAATTTGGAAACAATGACTTTAATTTCATAGAAGTAATTGTTTTTAAATGCTTTTGTCTTTTTTTTTGTATGTAGTCTCAAAAACATAAATATAAAGTCCTTTTTCGGGAACCAGACACATGGTGGAGGTTCAAACCAAAGGAACTTGCAAGGTAAAACTTGGAGGCTGTGGAACATGTTTTTTACTTCATGAATCATAGACCATCTAGATTTTTTCTCTTTATAAATAATGAATGAAACAAAATGGATTACATGCAGCTTTGCCACTTAAAAATTGGTGGCAATTTTGTATTGCCTGTAGGGTTCCCCCCATTTTATAAAGAATTTGTATCTTTTTATCCCTAAAATCGAGTTAATTAAAGTCAGAAAAATTCCAGTTGTTTGTGTTAATCAGTTTTTTTATTACTTGTTAAAAATAATAATGGCAGTATGTGAAACTAGAACAGACCCTACATTTGGCATGTCTGGACCATGTGCTTCTGAGAGGATTAAATTATTGTTCCTGCCTAGTAACTTTAGAATGTTGGAAACAAGTGAGGAGATATAGATGGAAAAGTTTGCAGATGTACAGTTTTCCAGGTATTTCACTTCTTTTCCTCTCCTCCCATAGTACATTTTTAAAATTTGATTGTTTGAATAAAATGTTTCAGGGCATAGACATATAATGTATTTTGCTTTGTGCTATGTATTCCCTTGGTGATTGCCCTAACTTAAGTTTGGTCAGGGTATTTTCTTCTTGATAATTTTAGCTAATTTCAGTATTAACTAAAGGTCAACGTAATTTTAGTGTATTTTTATATTGTTGTGCAACCATGACCACTACCTAGTTAGAGAATGTTTACGTCACTTCAAAAAAACTCCATACCTGATGTCAGCCACTTCCATTTCCCCGGCTTCCTTGGCAGCTACTAACATGCTTTTCTGTTCTATGAATTTGCTTATTCTGTACATTGCATATAAATGGAGTCATACAATATGTGGCCTTTGTGTATAACATCTTTCACTTAGCATAATGCTTCAAGGTTCATCCATGTTACAGCATATATCAGTACATCATTCCTTTTTATTATTTTGATATATTACTAGATTTGATTTTCTAATATTTTGTTTAGGGTTTTTGCATCTGTATAAATGATTGAGATGGAAGTTTTTCCTTCCTTGTCTGTGTGGCTTTGATATCATGGCTTTAGGTTCATGAAATTAATTAAGTAGTATTTTTCTCTTTTCTGAGTTGATATAACTGAATGTTTGGCAGATTTACTTATGAAACTGTCTTAGTAAGACTTTATTGAAATAATAGTATTCTCTTATTATTTATATCTCTGCTGCATCTGTATAAGTTCCCCTTTTCAATCCCAGTATATTTATGTATATCTTCCTTCTTTTTTTCTTGATTATTCTAATCAGAGATCTGACTTTATTAGTCTATTCAGATAAACAGCTCTTTCTTTACTTGGTTGATCTTTCTAGTAAAAGTTTATGTTTAATTCAATTTTGCTTCTCTTTTATTCTATTCTGTGCTTTTTAAAAAAGTCTGTTTTTCTTTGTTCTATTATTTTGAAAAATCTTTACCTGAAAGATTCAGGTCATTTTTTTACTATGATCATTTGATGCTGTAAATTTCTCTAGGGAGTGCATAAACTGTTCCCATAATTTAAGTATATAATACTCTCCTTTTGTTAGCATTTTTTTTAATAAAATAAAATTAGGAAAATATTAATTTTATTCTTTAGTCTTTGGGTTCTTTGGCACTATGTTTATAAATAGAGGTTTTTAAATTTATCCTTTAAAAAATTGGTTTTCAGGGCCTCCCCCGGTGGCGCAGCAGGTTGAGTGCAGCGCTGTGAAGCTGTCGGCAGCCTCTGCAGCGCGGGTTCGCTTCCCGGTTGGCTTGGGAGCAGCCCACATGGTGCAGCAGACCTCTCCTGTCTTGCCCCGCTGCTCCCCTCAGCAGTGTTTTTCGGTCTGTCTGACTGTTCTGCTCCCCTCTCTGTCTTTGGTGAATTCTCTCACCCTCCTGCCCCTCTGGCCTGTATCCCAGTTCTTGTATAAATAAATAAAATCTTAAAAAAAATGGTTTTCAACGTAACGCAATAGATAAGATTTTGCAGTTTGATACTAATTGTCTGATATTTTAAGATGAATTTTATGGCCAAATTCATTGTCCATTTTTTAATAAAAGTTTCATTTTTGATTGATAAGAATGTATACTGGTTTTCATGTATTGGTATATCGTTAAATCATGTTTATTTTGTTGCTCACATGTCCTGTAGCTTTGCTCAAAAAAAATTTGCTTGGTGTATTAATTTTTAAGAGGGAAAAGAAAATCTGTGAGGGAGGTGTGTTGAAATCTTCCTCTTTATGTTGAATATGTCTTTCTCCTTTTAATTCTTCCTATTTTTGCTTTATATATTCATTCACAAGCTATGTTTTTGAAGAACATAAGCTTAGTATTTTTATACCAGTGATTTTCTTTTATCATTAATATTAATTTTTGTTATAAAATCTAATTTGTCTAATATTAATAGGACTAAACCAATTTCTTTTCAGTTAGTATTTGAGTGTGACATCTTTTTCCATACTTTTACTTTCAACCTTTTGGTATCTTTGTGTTTAGGTATATCTCTTGAAACCACAATGGCTAGGTTTTAGAAACATCTGCTCTGTTTATCTTTGGCTTTTATCTGATAAGCTTGTTCTTTTATGGTTATTTTATTCATATAATTAGTCTTGTTTCTTATTGTCTTGCTGTGTGCTTTCTGTTTAGCTCACCCTTTCTGTGATTGATTTTTCTTCTATCACAGAAAATTATATATTTTGATTGAACGCAAATTTTTTTGCTTTTCTTCTCCACTAACTTGGAAATTTTATACACTGTTTTTATTCTTTCAGTGGTTATGTTAAAAATTTTGTTGTGCAAACTTTAAATTTCAGCCATTTGTTTCGCCTTCTAACAAACTCAAGAACTTTCAAACACTTTAGCTCTTACACTTCCAAGTTACACAATATGATGTCAAGAATGTGTTGACAGTATTTGTTTTCTACTCATGATATTAATTGCTTTGTGCTTAATTTTTCATTAATCATAGACCTTTCATCTGGGAGTTTACTTCTGCCTGATGTTCAGCTCTTAGAATTTCCTTTACAGTGTAGGCCTCCTTCATGTCTCTTTTTTTTTTAACAAAAATCTGAAAATCCCTTTATTGCCCTCATTCTTATAAGATACTTTTGTTGGGTGTGTATATTCTACATTGATATTTTCTGTATTGAAGATAGCATTTAACTCTCTTCTGACTTCTTTTATTGTTAAGTATGCTGTAATTATAGATAACGTTCTTTTAAAATTTCGGGTTTTTTTAATGTCATCTTTTTATCTTTGATAAATGGCAACTCCACTACTATTTCTGGTTGTGAATTTCTTATTTATCTTGTTTGAGATTTGATTGGTTTTTGAGATCAGGGGATTGGTGTCTTTCATTGGTTCTGAAAAATTCTCAGACATTTTTTCTTTAAATTGCTTCTGTCCCATATACTCTTTTCTCTTTCTGGGACTTGCATTAGATGTATAGTAGACCTTTTTGCTCTGTCTTCTATGTCTATGTCTCTTAACCTCTCTTTCATATTTTCTATCTCTTTGCTTCTCTGTGATCTGAAACCAGACAAGATCGAGGTAGGTAAATATGAAAGCCAGATTTGCCCACATGGCAAATGCTAATATTAGCCCCTGGATCCAACCTCATATAGGAGAATTGCAACAGATGTTTTTGGTAAGACAAGACCCTGTAGAGACTAAAGCATACTGCCTGGCCTTCTGGCAAGTGCAAATCCAGATGCTGTATGAATAAAAGGACCCCCAGTTTGGGAGCTGATGGTCCCATAGATTCAACTTAAATGTTAGCTCATAAACAGAAACACAAAAAAGTAAGTCTCTATTAGTGAAAGCACAGATATACACACTTCATACTTGGATATCCAGAACTTCAAATACGAGAATTTTTTCTTCTTTGCGTCAACTTAAAATGAATTAAAATGTATGTTTGCTTTAATTCACTTGAAATCTAGTTTTATTATGTTAGGAGGGCCCTTCTGGACATCTAGTCTGTCATACTGGCATAAATAGAAGCCTCTGTAGTCGAATTTTTTCACTCAGTAGTTATTAATTAAAACCTTGAAGTAATCATATTCATATGAGATTTTTTTTTTTTTACAGAGCTTGAGAATGACCTCTTTTAAAGTTATTAGGATCAGTTAGCTTTTTCCAAGTTGATAAAGGATGTTTGGACTTTTCCAGTCTTTTTGTATGGAATGATAAAGAAAATGGTAATTTAAAATATTCTGAATAAAGTGACAATTAGAATTAAATAATATGTATTGTGTCATAATAAACAAGCTTTGATATTTTTAATTGATTAGAAATGTATACTTTCTTTGAGATATATATTTATTTTTTTAACTTAATTACCAATTTTCCTTTCTCTGACTAATTTTCAGGCGGAATATTCATGGGGTAAGCAAAGAAAAAATAACAAGAATGTTGGAGCACTATCAGCGTTTTGTTTCAGTGCCAATAATCATGAGTTCTTCAGTTCCAGAGAAAACTGAGCGTATTGAATTGTGTGCATATTCTTCTGAAGACAGAAGTATGAGGTATATTGAAGTTCCTGTATATAAAACTTTAATTTGAAACATAATTTTAAAAGATGTGATAATTTTCGAGCTTGTGAAATCATTGTCAAACAATCTTAAAAATAAGATAGATGTTTATGTGTTTAGATGTAGTCTTACATCAGATTTATGTAGTGCTATAATACAATGTTACTTAAATAAAAATTAAAAACAAACTTAATGATTAGGTAAAAGTGCTCTGAATATGAAATAAACATCAAGGATGGTTTTAAAGCAAGTGACTTCTCAAATGACAGCTTTCCTCCCTTTCTCTCATATCTCTAATTGTGTAAATCATATCAGTTGATTTAAGTGAAGTTTTAGCATTTTCCTTTGTAGTAAACACGTAATATAGAGGCAAACCTAGATAGACTGATAATCTCATGTTTATTATTCAATTTGAAAAAAGTTTGAGTGCTTTCTATATGCCAAACATTGTGCTCGGTGTTGGGATACAGTAAAACGATGTGTTTTTAGTGTATTAAATGAAGATCAGAATTCACTTTTATAATTTTAATGTAGTTTATTTCTAGAATTTTTTTTATTTCTAGAATTTTTAGGAGGAATAGGAGTGAAGTGCTTTCTCTTTCAGTTGAAAATTTCTTTAGTTTAAATCATAATATTAATGGCAACATTAAGAAACTTGATTGTAATATTTTAAAAAAATCTTACAGCCCAAGAGACAATGAAGATATTACCTCCGAGAAAGAAAATGTTTTATCCTCGTCTTTGAAGCACCTAGAGTTAATTGAAGAGAAGAAACCTGAAGTGACTCAGGAAGCTGTGTTATCTGAGAATGTTATATACCTTCCAAATGCAGATTTAAACAAAGGAAGTAAAGAAATAAGTGGTGTGAATCCTGACATTCAGAGTGCTTTCATTCCGGAAGTTTCAGACATGTATTTTTCTGATTCTGAAAGTAAAGTCCAAGTAACAGACAAAAGTGAAAAAGAGGAGCAAGTAGAAATGACTTCCGAAAAAGATTATAGTAAAACCGACACAGGTGGTTTTGTAGAGAACTTGTCACCAAGCATATGCTGTGGTGAAAATAACCTAGAAGACTGTGACCTTTCAAATATTGTAGCACTTCAAAATGAAAAATCTTCATCTGGTAAAATATTGGAGGACCGAGTAATGTTAAAGAAAAAAACCTTTGGAAAACAAAAAAGCAAATCAACTTTGGAAAAGTTCCCAAGACATGAGCTATCAAGCTTTGTTGGTGACTGGCCAGTTGATAAGAGTATTGGTCAGAGGATAAAAAGGAACCGAAAAACTGAAAAAGGTTCACCTGTGCAAAGTGACAAAAAGTATAATCGACCTCAGTCACGCAAAGTATTAGATAATAGTCTGTCTGTGAATTTAGATCATGTCCAGCAACAAGTATCTCCACATGAAAGTGTAGAGAATGACAAGAAATCACAGTGTGATGATACCTCAGATTCTTTCAATAGTAAATATGATACTTATAAAAATACTGAAAAAACCTCATTCAGCATTGTGGGTGACTGGCCTTCACCTGATTCTTTAGCTCAGAGAGAGCGCAGATCAAGAATGCCAAAAGCTGGTTTAAATGAACCTGACCTAAAATTTGGAACTAATGACAGTATGAATGAAATATCCTTATATACAGCACATGAGGCCTATTGGGGCACAAGCACTGAAGAAATGAAAACATTGGGTGAGTCTGCTCTAGGAAGTTCTGAAAGACTTTCTAATGAAATGACCCATGGCAATAAGACTTACCCAGGTAAAACAGTTCATGGGCAACACACATTTTCTCTTACTTTAGTGAATAATGGGCCAACTATTCCTGGAGTAGTAGGATCACAAACTTTAGGTGATTTTCCAGAAGGAAAGCCTAAAGAAATCTCTGAACTAGAAGTAGGTATGTGTACCCAGACTGAGCCACAGGATTTTGCTCTTTTATGGAAAATAGAAAAGAATAAAATTAGTGCTTCAGAATCTGTTAGAGTATTAACAGGAAGATTAGATGGATTTAAACCAAAATCTTTAAATATTAACACAAAATTACATGCTCAAGAAACAATTCCATATAGGGTAATGTATGATAAAAGCACCTATGTTGAAGAAAGTGAGCTTACCAGTGCTGATGAATCTGAAAATCTTAACATTCTTTGTAAACTGTTTGGATCTTTTTCATTAGAAGCCCTAAAAGACTTATATGAGAGGTGTAACAAAGATATTATTTGGGCCACAAGCCTTTTATTAGATTCAGAAACTAAATTATGTGAAGATATAGAAGTTGAAAATAACCAAAAACCATCTGATGAAGGACAAATTGGACCATTTTCTCTGGGATTGAATTTGAAGGAAGTTATTAGCCAAAGAGGAATCCTAGAGGATTCTAATTCTTCTATGCTAGAATTTAGCTATGGCATTGGTATCAGTGATACTAATGTACAGTCTATCTGTGATTCAGAAAAGGGAAACACAGAACAGGCAGAAACAAGAGCTATAACTAATGAAAAATCTGGATTAATAGCAAATATATTTCCTAATGTCACTATAGATCTAAATACAAATGAAGCACTTCCTAATAGTCAAGCAGAACTTTCAGGTTTATATAACATTGAGCAGCCTTTTCCAGGTACTTTTAAAGTTACCACTTCTCAAAACATAAGTGAAATGGAAAAGAATCTGGAAGTCACAGAGGTTGGAGACAACATACATTCTTTGAGTTTGTCTGATATTTTAAATTCTGTATCAAGCGCTTCAGATCTTGAATTAAACAAAAAAATTTGTTTTACTGACTCTTTTGAAATAAAGAAAAATGAAAATCTTCCAAAGGATTATGTGAAACTTTCTAACACAGAAGAATTTATGAATGAAGAGGAACAGGATATGGAAAAAATTTTAATGACCGGGAGTACTTTGTCAGCTGGAATTAGTGAGGAAGATAAAACTGAAATGTTGAATCCCACACCAGTGATGGCCAAGTCTCTAACCATAGACTGTCTAGAACTGGCATTACCTCCTGAATTGGCTTTTCAGCTTAATGAATTATTTGGCCCTGTTGGTATTGATTCTGGTAAGGAAAAAGTAAATTACTTATATGTGTGTCTTTGTGTGACTGTACTAGATTGATGGTTCTGCTTCAATTTAAAAATTATGTTAATTGAAATATAAAAGTAATTTGAGTTACTTACCTTATTTTTGTGGCAGTGTATTTGTAGATGTTTTTTAAAAATGTGATTTGAGGGGCCTACCTGGTGGCGCAGAGGTTAAAGTCTCAGTGCTATGAAGCTCTCCGCAGATACTGCAGCATGAGTTCAGTTTTTGGCCAGGGAACTAGCCCTCATGGCTCAACAGACCTCTCCTGTCTCACCCACTGCTCCCCTCTGCAGTGTATTTCAGTCAGTCTGCCTGTTCTGTTCCCCACTCTCTCTCTGATGAATCCTCTCACCCACCTCCCACACCTCTATCCTGTACCCCAGTTCTTGTATGTATAAGTAAATAAATCTTTAAAAAAAATAGTCTTGACTAATGTGAAGAAACAGATTAATAGACATGAATAGTATATATTGAAACTTTGTATGTAATTGCACCAGACAAGAGCTCTGAAAACAATAACACATAAATAAAACTATTTCCAGAGATTTAATAACTAGAAATATAGCTTAGTAATTAATAATATGGATTAGTTTTCTGATGCATAAGGTGCCTGAGTACATTTTGAGCAAATTATAATGAATAGTAATTATACATATATATTTTTTTCTTACAAGGTTCTCTAACAGTTGAAGATTGTATTGTACATATAGATCTGAATCTTGCTAAAGTAATTCATGAGAAATGGAAAGAATCTGTGATGGTTGGTAATCTTCTCTTTTTATAAACTGTTCCTTTTGTGTACATTTTGTCACCTTTACTTTTCAATAAAATCTATGTTATAGGAAGACATTCTATTGAATTTTGACTTGGAGAGAGAACAAACTTTTACCAGTTAACAGATTGCTGATACTTTTTCTTTTTCCATTATTTGTAGACTGGCCAAATTATATAATTAATGATGGAGTTCATTGTGATTGCAAAATTTTTTTTAAGGGGAAAACCATAAGTAGTGAGTTTTTATTCCCGAAAATTAAAGACTTGCAGTGCTGATTGATTAAATTTCAAGAAGTTTTTTATAAGATGCATCATAAGGGCCTCCCTTGGTGGCGCAGGTAGTTGAGCACAGTGCTCTGAAGCTGTCCGCAGCTTCTGCAGCGACAGTTCAATCCCAGCCGGCCAGCTAGGGTCCCACATGGGGAAGCAGACCTCTCCTGTTGTGCCCACTTCTCCCCTCAGCAGTGTATTTCTTCAGTCTGCCTGTTCTGTTCCCCGCTCTGTCTGGTGAGTCCTCTCACCCTCCCGCACATCTGGCCTGTACCCTGGTTCTTGTATTAATAAATAACTCTTTTAAAAAAAAAAAGCTACCTTCTTAAAAAAAAAAAAGATGCATCATAAAAGTTCTATCAATGGAAAAAATACATAGATGTAGTTATACTTTATAATTTTATGGTTTTACTGAGATTTAGCAATAATGATTGGTAGTTACACAAAGAGAAATGATTTCTAGAGACAATAATACCATATTTCCTACTGACCCTCCTTTGCTAATCCCCTGTTCTGTCTGTGTTTAGGAGCGACAAAGACAAGAAGAGGTATCCTCTGGCAAGTTTATACGAGGTAAAGCATATATCTTTACTTCAGATGTTCTCTCTTGATGTTGAAACAGGTATATATGTATGAATTTTAAATATGCTTCCATAAAATATGTCACTTAAAAATCTTGACTTGCAAAAAGAAAAATACTGGATGGTTTCACTCATAGCAGGAATTTAGAAAACCCAAATAAGGGATCAGGAAAAAGACTAATTATAATAAAGTAAAAATCAAAATCAACAGGCAACTATAAACCAGAGCAGGGACTAGGGGGGGAAGGGAGTAGGATCAAAACAAAGGTGGTGGGAATTTTATAGGACGATAACCAAGATGAAAATGCATACACTGTACCAAAGTGAAAAATGATGTAAAAAATATATAAAATAAAAAATCTTGACTTGCAAATAAAAGTTTAAAAAATATTTAATGTTTGATACTGATATAAAATAAAATAAAACTTAAAGAATAAAAAAGTTTCTATAATATTTAACTTTCATGAATGATGTGGAACACCTTAAGTTTCTGTTAAGAGTTTGCTGTCAATGATAGAAAGCAGTTCTCATTTGAGAGCAATAAAGTATTAATGTGTTTGATTAAAACCATCATTGAAATAATACTTGGTTATTCAATATTTTATTGATGTTAGTATTATTGGAGCACAAAAGGCAGCCTGCTTTTTGGGTCCATCTGCTAAGTTGAAAATAATTGATCCCAGACAATGTGTCTTAGATGGCATTGTCTTTAGTGATTAGTACAGGGTAGAAGATCTGTTATAGAATCCTTTCGTGCATGAGTTCTTCCAGATGTCTCTTTTGTCCACTCCACACTTGGATTCCAAATTGAAGATTTTTAGTTCAGACCTGTGTTTGTTGCATCACTTTAAGTTATTTGAAAGCCCAATGGATATCAGATGGTGTGAATGATAGTACATCTACTGTTTCTTCCACTGTCTAGGAAAAAAAAAGAATATATCAGAATGTGTTGCTTTCTCTTAGAGATGCTGAAATGTTGCACATTAAATCCTGTTATTGTGAACTTAGAATGTTCGCTTCCTTACTTTGTTAACTATCATTCCCTCAATATTTATTGTGTTCCTCCTGCACGTTACCGTTTGCCAAGATATTGATCATTTCAGTCCTTGGTGTGACTGGGGCCAGCTGGTCACTTCCATCTGACTGCATCCTGCACTGTTTGCTAGTGCATATACTTGTCACTGTTTTCTGTCTGTTGATGTGATATGAAAAATACTGGGAAGTGGTCTGTTAGTCTATTTGAGGGATCGTTTGATCATTGTTCATTTGAAATATTCCTGCATTTATACATACCATTTCTTGCTTGCAATTATGTGAAGATGTATTTTGAAACTTCAAAGTTACATTATATTTATAAGCTAAAAGTAAAAAATGACATTTGTTGGGTCTTTATGAAATAGATGTAAATAGTGAATAATGCTAGTTTGTTCATTTATTGTTAGGGTCTGATTCTATTTATACTGCTTTTGTAGATCCTTTCCAGGTTGGGCATATTGGTCTTGATAATCCTGAACAAAAATCATCTCAGAAAACAGGCAAAAAATTACTGAAGACTTTAGCAGCACCAGAAATGCTGTCCTTATCGGATCATTGGAATACTCAAACTAAAAAAGTATCACTCAGAGAAATAATGTCAGAAGAAATTGCCTTACAGGAAAAGCATGATTTGGTATGAGTTAGTCTAAATATTAAACAAGCTTATTGTGTGTTACTTTGTAATTTTCATTTGATTCTACATTTTCTAGCCTGGACTCTGTATTTGACGTGATTGAAGTTAATGATAGAATTGAAAAATGTTTTAAATATGGTTTAAATGGGAAGATTTTCTTTTGTGAAATAAGTTCATATTTAACAAAAAGGCAATCTTTGTTAAATCTCTGTTGTTTTAGATTTAATTTTATAACTGAGTTGCATATTTCTAAGCTTTTAACATTTAACTTTTTTTCTGCTCCCCACTCTGTCTCTGGTGAATCCTCTCACCCCCCACACTTCTGGCTTACACCTCAGTTCTTGTATGCATAAATAAATAAATCTTTTAAAAAAGTCCCTTATTCAAAAAAAAAATCAAAAGGGAAATAAAGGGGCCTCCCTGGTCACACAAGGGGTTAAGTCTCAGCACTATGACACTATTGCCAGCCACTGCACCAGGACTTTGATCCTCGACTTTGATCCCTGGCCAGGGAACTAACCCACATATGGCACAGCAGACTTCTGTCTTGCTCACTTCTCCCCTTAGCAGTGTATTTCAGTAGATCTGCTTGTTCTCCCCACTCTGTCTTCTGGTGAATCCCGTCACTCCTCATCCCTCTGGGCTATACCCCAGTTCTGCTCAAAGTAAATAAAATTTAAAAAATATTAAAAAATATTTATCATCTTCATTTAGAATTAAAGTAGCACATTTGAGGAAAGTTATTTTGATTTGGCAATTTAAACAGATCCACATACGACTTGTAAGAAATGACAACAGTAACAATGCTTATGCATTATTTTTGAGTAAATATGTTAATGAAAATTGTGAATTTTGAGGTTTACTGTCACCTGAATTTGCAACTTAATTGTACATTGTAGTTTCTGCCCATTGAGGAGAATGTGTTTTTGAGGTGTTGTTCACAGCATCACACAGCATTCCTTTTAGGAGGACCCATGGGAGAAATTTCTCTCAGGTCTCATTACAAAAAAACTGTACTTCTTCTGAGCAACTGGTTTGTTTTATTTTATGGATGCTAAGAATCTTTATTTCCCCCTTTTCTTTGGCCACTAAGAAGCTTAGAACTGAATTTGTGGCCCACCTTCAGCATTTGTACAGGATTTTGTGGCGTTAATTTATATACTAATTTTGGGCCTCCTTGGTGGTGCAAGGGGTTTAGCACCGCACTATGAAGCAATCCGCAGCCTCTGCAGCACGAGTTCGATCCCTGGCTGGCCAGGGAGAAACCCACATGGCACAGCAGACCTCTCCTGTCCCGCCCGCTGCTCCCCTCAGCAGTGTATTTCAGTCAGTCTGCCTGTTCTGTTCTCTACTCTGTCTCTGGTGGATCCTCTCACCACCCGCATCTCTGACCTGCACCCCAGTTCTTGTCTGCATAAATAAATAAGTCTTTAAAAAAAATTTATATACTAATTTTACTTGCTAGCTTTATTCTATATTCCTACCTTTATTTTCTCTACTCTCTAACTTTATATCCTGTTTATTCACATTATATATATACTTATATATAATTGATTGTTCATATATGTTAATATATATACAGAAACACATACACATGTATTTTAATTTTTTAATATATGATTGAATGTGTTGGGGTTGTATATATGAGAGTATGTATATATTTTTATGTACATGTACACGTGTGTATGTGTGATTGTGTGTGTGTGCATATTTATGAGCAGCTTCAAGTACTTTGCAAAAAATGGCATATAAATAAATATTGCAAGAATATTTACTAATTTCAGCTTTTAATCAGTTAAGGAAGTATGATTGCTTTTTGCAACTAAATAACCATGCTTTTGGGTCACTGTAATTTGTGTTAAAAATTTCATCTTAAGGATGATTTTGTTTTGTCTTGTTTTAGAAAAGGGAACCGCTTATGTTCGAAAAAGATTGTGCCACTAAACTAAAAGAGAAGCAGCTTTTTAAGATATTTCCAGCCATTAACCAAAATTTTCTAGCAGACATTTTCAAGGACCACAAGTAAGTGGTGGAAGGATTGTAATTTCTACTCTTAAGTCGTTGAATCATATATCCTATGCTTTGTTATTAATTTTATTTTTCTGATATCAGAAATAATATAGGTGTTTTATAAACCATCCCAATTTAATATATATAAAATGTCAAGAGTGAGCAGTTTTCTGATGGTTGATTTATAGTCATCTTCAGTTATTTTTGCTCATATTTATGCTAATGTGTGTATGCGTATGTGTACACTATTTGTTTTTGTGTCTCCATATAAAAATATTTCACCAAAAAGTTGTGTTTTATGTACTATTTTGTAGTTTTGCTGTTTTTTTCCCATCCATATTTAGTGGTCAGCTCTTTTCTTTTTTAAAGTCTGCAGTGTTCAATAGTATTCTTAAAGTAATTCTTGAAGTACTATTATTTATTCATTTGTTTATTTTAAATACTCAATTTTATTTTTCTATCGTAGGCCAGGACACTTAACAAATCATAATTTGCTTTGGAATGGACCATCTCCTTAGCCAAACAAAAATATAATGCATCTTATTTGTTATAGATATGGCCACTTTCTGTTTTGCTAAGAAAGAGGTGTTTAATGTTATAAGCTTCTTTGCCGCAGAGGAATGCCACAACTGCTACCATAAGAACAGTTGCATACCAGTAGCTGTGGAATGAATGTACTGTAATTTATTTAAACATGCTCCTGTTTATTGACTTTTTGACTGTAAGAAAAATTGCAAACCATGTTGGGTCAAGTGTCCTTAACTTGCATCTTTACAGCATTCGCTTATAAAACCAGCTGGCACTGGGCTTTTGTTTGGGGGAGATATTTGAGTACTGTTTCAATTTCTATGATTGGCTTATTCAACTTTTCTGGGCTTTTTTCTAGTTTAGTCTTAGTAAACTATGTTGTTGTAGAAATTTGTCCATTTCTTGAAGACTGTTGTATTTTTGGAATAGTAATATCTTATAATCTTTTTCATTTCTCTGTGATGTCTGGTAATTTCTCTTCTTTCACTTCTAATTCCCTTTGTTACTGTGTTCACCTTTGTTAGCCTACCTAGAGTTTTATCAATTTCTATCTTAGAGAACAAATTCTGAGTTTCTCTCATCTTTTGTATAGTCTTTTTGATTTGGTTCATTAATTTCCTTCTACTAACTTTGGGTCTTGTTTGTTCTTCCTTTTCAAATTGCATTAGATAATATTAATTTGTTTATTTGAGGTTTTTCTTCTTATGTGGGCCTGTGTTGTACTTTCTTCCCTCTTAAGATCGTTAAATTCTGATACCTTATAGTCTCATTTTCAGTAGTCTTGAGGTATTTTATGATTTCTGCTATTAACAGCTTATTATTTAGTCTACATGTTTTTAAGATTTTTCCAGTTTTTTCAATAGTTGCTTTCTATTGTTATAACATTATGGTCTCAGAGCACTTAGTATGATATTAATCTTTGTGGTTTTATTGATGATTAACTTGTATTCCACCATATGGCATGGATCACAGGTGGAGATAGTAGATTGAGGGCCATATAGAGAATCTCCTGTCCTTATAAATCAACCTAGTCAGTGCACTAAAATTAACTAATTCTGACAATAGATAACAGTTCAACAAAGGAGGAGCCCCTCCCCATAGAAATTATATCAGAACACGCCTGTCCCATCCAGGCAGCTTTCTGCCTGCTTGTGTCTGCCTGCTTGTGTCTTCCAATAAACCTTTCTTTCTTGGATATACCCAAACATCATCATCTCCTGGTTAAACTCATCACATGCTATTGAAAAGGGAACTTGGCTGAAGAGGTAAAGGTAGAGGTAAGAGGTAACCCAAGGGCTCTGACTCATTGAACCCAATACCTCATCATCATTATTATGAAAGCCTGAATAATGTAGGGGTGAGAAGTAGGATGATATTTTCCTTTCTGTTTCCCTTCTTAGAATTTCTTTTACTATATCCTTGTGGTATAAGTAAAAAGTGAAATTTGGCACAATAAATTTGTCAATTTAAAGACCTGTTATATGATGTTTGAAGGAAACTGAATCCATTTGTGAACCCAACAAGGGACTTAAGTATAGGTGAGAAGATGAAAGAAAGATAATCTTACTGGAATAAAAGATTAGACGATGAATTATCAATGTTGCCTTTTGGTATTCATTTTTAAAATGAGAGCCTATTTCTTGAAGTTTCTCTCTGGTCATTTTAAAATCTTTGGGATACACAATGAGCATTTGGTTTGCTGTTCTAACACTTAAAAATGAGTTAATTTTTCATTTTCTAAAATGTTTCAAGGATTATCTATGTTAAGGTTTCCACATGACTTATATTTATACTTACCCTCTCTACAGCTATTCATTAGAACACACAGTGCAGTTTCTAAACTGTGTTCTTGAAGGAGATCCTGTAAAAACAGTTGTAGCACAAGAGTTTGTTCATCAAAATGAGAATATTGCTTCTCATACGGCACAGAAATCTAAGGAGAAAAAGGTATGGAGTTACTTATTTTTACTATAATGATTAATAATTGCATATGAAAATAAAATTTGTTGAGGTGATTTAATGATTCTTTCTCACCAGTTTGACTAGATTGGAAATTTAACCACTGATAGTGTATTTGATTTTAGAATATTTGTTTAGTCAAAATAATGTGTTTTCCCTCCAGTGTCATTCATTGTGTATAACAAGTACTTGAATTCCTGTAATTTTTCTGTGTCCGCTGTACACAGTAGTGTGTGAGGCTTAATTGAATAGTGATGGGTTGTTAATATGATGGATCTTAGGGTATAAATCTGTAGGCAGAAATATTTAACCATCTGAGAAACTGTCTACCTTTTTACACCAAAGCTATTGTGCTATTTGACATTCCCATCAACAATGTATGAGGGTTATTTCTCCACATCTTCTTTTTCTTTCTATTATTTCTCTTTTTTGATTATAGCAATTCTGGCAGTTGCAAAGTTGTTTTAAGGGTATTTGGGATTTGTTTTAATCAAGTATGGTAATAAGATGTGTAGATGTGGGGATGTTAAAGAGAAAGTGTAGTATATGCACAGAAACCCAGAAACTAGAAGTATCACCTACCACCCTACCACATCAGGCAGCACCAGCATTGAACAGGAGGCCGGAGTAAAGGGCAAACATGGGCAAGAACTTTTAGTATGATATCTGTGGGAGGAATGGGCGATACAGGAAAGCTGGATTAGCATTGACTTGTTTGAATTCTATCAACCTGCTCTGGGTGCATCAGGACTAGTTTTCTGGTACCTGTGCTGGGTGATTAGAGTATTTGGATGGTAGTCTGGAGTGTGAAAACCCCATAAAGGATGTGGTTGGGGGTATGGACTCTAGATTGGCTGGTTTGCATATGTAAGTTATATTAGCAGACTAATTGTCTACTTTCTTTAGGAATTAGTGAACCTGTAAGGGTGGAGGGGTAGAGGTAAAATAGGGTTGGTGGAGCTCTCTAGGGCCTAACAAGCCCCAGATGCCAAAGAAAGCCATCAGAACACAGGAAATAAAAGACATGGTTAATATAGAAGTGTTATCTCACTGTGAGTTGATTTGGAGTTTCCTGATGACAGATGATGTTGAGCATCTTTTTATATACTTGTTGACTTTTTGTGTATCTTTTTAAAAAATGTAGATTTATAACCTTTTTGCCTACTAAATTTTTATCTGCTTAACATTTTTCAAGTATTTTATATACACAAGATACCCCCAAGTCCCTTATCAGATATGATAAATTGAAAATGTTCTAAAGATTGTCTTTTCACATTTTTGATGGTGTCCTTAAGAATACAAAGTTTTGAAGTTTGACAATTTGCAATTTCTTTTGTTGCTTATACTTTTATCATATCTAAGAAACTCTTGCCTATTCCAAGGCCTTAAAGATTTACATCTATTTTTTCTTCTAAGAGTTTTACAGTTTAAGTGCTTGCATTTAGATCTTTGATCCATTCTGAATTAGTTTTTGTATGTGATGTGAGTTTGGGGTGGGGGTGGGGTCCAAGTTCTTTTATCTGCATCTGCACGTCCAGTTGTCACAGTACTACTTATTGCAAAGACTATTTCCCCATTGTATTTTCTTAGCTCCCTTGTTGGAAATGAAGTGATTGTAAGTTTATTGTCAGACTTTCAATATGTCTGCTATTATACCAACCCACACTGTCTTAAATACTGTAACTTTGCAGTTTAGTCTTGAAACCAGGAGGTGTGTTTCCAGTTATTTGAAGATTGTTTGGTTACTCTGGGCCCCTCGCATTTCCTTGTGAATCTTCGGATAGCTTATCAATTCTGTAAAGATGGCAGCTGGAATTTTCATGGGGATTGTGTTGAATTTATAGATAATTTGAGGATTATTGTTATCCTAAAAATATAAATCTGTGAACATGGGATATTTTTCAATTTATTTAGGTATTTGTAATTTCTTTCAAGAGTATGGTGTCATGTTATTACATTTTTTATGTCTTTATTTCTAAGTGTTCTTTCTCATGTTATTATAAATGGACTTATTTTCTTATTTTTGGACTGTACATTGCAAATATATAGAAATATAATTTGTATATTAATCGTATATAGCTGTCAGCTTTTTTTAATAGGCCCTTATCATCTTGCTATTCTTATTAATAAAAATACTCAAGGATAACTGTGTCTTTCTTTCTTTTTTCCTTTATTTTACTATCAGTTAGTAGGTATATACAACTTATATAATTTTGGTATTCATGTGACATTAGTACTATATATGGGGCAGGGCTCAAGTGATGCCACTGATACCTGTGTTCTCCATGGATGATAGGTACAGTATATTTTAAGATGGAAAGAGTGTACAAGATGATGGTGAGACCTTCAAGACCAAACCAGGAGATCATTGTGGGTCATTATGGTGACAGAGGAAGTGATGAGGGAAAGGTGTGCTTGCTCACAGTTGGAGAGGATTGGAAAATGTTGCAGTCAGAAAAGGAAATTTTGAGGCATTGTCCAAAATACTAATTTCAAGTTATTCTGGAGATTTTCTTAGACTTTCTTTATTTCTTAGACTCTCACACAAAATGTGTCAGAGCAAGAATAAAAGTCTTTTTTAAATTGGTGAGCAGAATAGTCTGTCTTTGATATTCTGGAACCATGAGGTCCTACAGATATTAAAGGGATGTATCTTGGTACCAGATACATTCTTCTGTTTTCAAGAAATAAATGTTTCAAACTATGTTTTATTAATACTACTAACTCTTTAGCATTTAATAAAATTTAAAAGTCTGTTGCCATGGGAAATTTTTGGTATTATAGAGAATAAGTGGCACTAATTAGGTGAATTCTTAGGAAGTCACTATTTCACTTTGCTCTTGTTAATGAAGTTGTAATAAACCACATCACTGTGAGATAGATATAAAAACAATCTTATTTCAGGGCCTCCCCGGTGGCGCAGCAGGTTGAGCGCAGCACTGTGAAGCTGTCCGCAGCCTCTGCAGCGCAGGTTCGATTCCTGGCCGGCCAGGGAGATACCCACATGGTGCAGCAGACCTCTCCTTTCAGTAGTGTTTTTGGTCTGCCTGTTCTGCTCCCCGCTGTTTCTGGTGAATCCTCTCAGCCTCCACACCTCTGGCCTGTACCCCAGTTCTTGTATAAATAAATAAGTCTTAAAACAAAAACAAAACCAACCTTATTTTTTTTTTAAGATTTATTTATCTCTGGTACAGGCCAGAGATGCGGGGGTGGGGGGAGAAGTGAGAGGATTCACCAGAGACAGAGTAGGGAACAGAACAGGCAGATCTACTGAAATACACTGCTGAGGGGAGCAGTGGGCAAGTCAGGAGAGGTCTGCTGAGCCATGTGGGTTGCTCCCTGGCTGGCCAGGGTTCGAACTCGTGCTGCAGAGGCTGCGGATTGCTTCATAGTGTGTTGCTTAACCCCTTGCACCACCAAGGAGGCCCGAAGCCAATCTTATTTTAAAAGAGAATAGACACTTAAAAAAAAAAGCAGCTCTCATTATATAATCTCTCCCACCCCACCCCCCTTTTTATTTTTTTATGGGTTTATTTATTTGTTTGTTTTTATATTTATTTATACAAGCACTGGGTACAGTCAGAAGTGCGGGAGGGTGAGAGCAATCACCAAAGCCAGAGTGGAGAGCAGAACAGGCAGACCAGACGAAGTACACTGCTGAGGGGAGCAGCGGGCGGCAGGAGAGGTCTGCACGCCATGTGGGACCCTCTCTGGAGGCCGGGGATCAAACCGGGACTACAGAGGCTTCAGGCAGCTTCACAGCCCAGTGCTCAACCGCTGCGCCACTGGGGAGGCCCACCACCCCCCTTTTTAAAGGAAAGAAATGAAGGGTTTTCTTTTCATAAAACCAAACATGATTTGCATTTTTTTAGTATGAACACTAACAGAAAGTTTAATGCTATGGAATATTGATGTTTTAGTGTTAGGCACTATGGGCTTTTCAAAAGTATAGAAAGCAACTTAATTATCCCTTTCACCCAAAGTCTTTGATTTTATCAGGGATGGAATTCATACACTCCTAGACTATTTAAACACTTATATGAAACAAGTTTGTGATTATGTAATGGAGAGAATGACACAGGATATAAATTCTGTGAATATTCTTATGTAAAAGAGAACGCCTTGTGTTCCTTCATAAGATAAGCTGGGTATTTGCTGCAAAAATATATCAACTATTCTCTCATTTACAGATTTTTAACTTTGGTAGTATGTTAGTAGCATAGCAATACCTTTATTTTATTCTTTTTTTTTTTTTTTAAAGATTTATTATTTATTTATTTATTTATTTATACAAGCACTGCGTACAGTCAGAAGTGCAGGAGGGTGAGAGAATTCACCAGAGCCAGAGCGGGGAGCAGAGCAGGCAGAAGGACCGAAGTACACTGCTGAGGGGAGCAGCGGGCGGCAGGAGAGGTCTGCGCGCCATGTGGGACCCTCCTCCGGGGGCCGGGGAGCAGCCGGGGATCGAACCGGCACCGCAGTGGCCGCGGGCAGCTTCGCAACCCAGCGCTCAATCGCTGCACCACTGGGGAGGCCCTATTTTATTCTTTCATTTTCCTTCAGTTCTTTAAAACCTCTAGAGTTTTAGGGACTAAGTGAGCAAAATTTAGCAAATGAAATTTTACAACCAACTACTATTATATATTAGACTAGTTTTTTCCAACCTGTCTTGACTTGTGAATTCTATTCTTAGGTAGGAAATTTGAAAAAGTGCTTTTATCCATTAGTAATATATAGTACATAATGCATACATATAATTTTAATGTAATTTATATAAAATGATTTTACATAAAAATTAAATCAGTATTAAAGATTATCATAGAGTACATTATAATTATATTCTTTGCTAATATTTTTAATTAATGACAGTTTTCAGCCATTAGAAAATTAGCAAATTTAGCAAGGATCCTACATTGTTTAATTTACTTTTAATTATAACAAAATGTGAATTGCTTAAAAACTTGAAAATTATTTTTTGAGGTTTCGGGATTGAATGTTCATAAAATGTTCATTAAATTGCTTGGCATGACATCTGATTCTTGGAAGTCTTTAAAATTTTTAAGGAAATTATAGTAATTATAATTATAGTAATTTATTATTCCTCTCTCCCCCTCTTCCATGTTAAGAAACGTATCAGATTGCTGTTGTAAGCAGCATTTTCAGCAAACAGCACTTTGGAGACTGGTATAGATGAAATGCCAATTTGGATATAGAAGTCACTATGTTTTGCTGTTTTTTTTTTTTTTTTTTTTAAAGATTTATTTATTTATTTATACAAGCACTGGGTACTGTCAGAAGTGTGGGAGGGTGAGAGAATTCACCAGAGCCAGAGTGGGGAACAGAACAGGCAGACTGACAAAGAAATACACTACTGAGGGGAGCATCGGGCACGGCAGGAGAGGTCTGTCACTCCATGTGGGACCCTCACTGGGAGCCGGGGATCGAACTGGCGCTGCAGAGGCTGCGGGCAGCTTCACAGCCCAGCGCTCAACTGCTGCGCCACCAGGGGAGGCCCTGTTTTGCTGTTTTTTAACATTGAATTTTTATATTCTGGATACATCTGGATGCATTATTATAAGAATTTTGCTTAGAAAAAACTTTTCTTATTTTGTGGAGAGCACTGAGGCAAATTTGCATAATAATTACTTGTATTTGTGCTTTAAATTAGTTACTTTAACTTTTTTTAATATTTGTTTATTTATGCATACAAGAGCTAGGGTACAGGCCAGAGGTGTGGGGGGTAAGAGGATTTAGCAGAGACAGAGTGGGGAACAGAACAAGCTGACTGACTGAAATACACTGCTGAGGGGTGCATCGGGTGAGCCAGGAGAGGTCTGCTACACCATGTGGGTTGCTCCCTGGCCTGCTGGAGATCAAACTCGTGCTGCAGAAGCTGGCAGACAGCTTCATAGGCTGTGTCTTAACCCCTTGAGCCACCAAGGAGACCCAGCTTTTACTTCTTTAAGGTCAATTTTGGATAGCAATTACTTGATGGGTGATTTTTCATACAAAATTCATTGAAATTTTTTAATAGTCTATACTACCCTAGTGACTAGTTGGTAGTTGGCTGACTGAAAACTACTCCATAAGAGTATTTTTGATGTTTACTAACTACTAGATGTAGTCATTCCACATGCCTTTTCTGTTTTAAAGAGAATTACTCAGTTTTATTGATTGGCTTTTTAAATGGAAATGTTTTATTATTGCTTTCAATAACTAGGCCCTTCAAATAGGTTTATAAACTAAAATTTGGAAAATGTTGCATAAATGAGTTTTATATTTTCTCTTGCTTTGATTTTATGATTAGATTGTATTTTGATAATTTTATGGCTTGATTTTATGACTAGGTTATGTTTTGATAACATCTAAAATAAGTAAAGACGGGATATCCTTTATGACATAAAGAAGTTAATGACAGTTACTAAGTGCATGGTTTACTAGGTAGACATTGGGAAGCATCTGTTTTATAAGAAAAGATGAAAAATAGCATAACCTGGTTTTCATATATATTTTTGGGAGGTAAAACTTGTGTTTTCTACTTTCTTCATATTTTACCTATTGTGTAATATCTTATAGACAAAGAAATCAAAAGAGACTGAAGATATGCTAAATGAGCCATCTTTCCAGGATTTTGAGTATCCAGAGTATGATGACTATAGGGCAGAGGCTTTCCTGCACCAACAGAAGAGGATGGAATGCTACAGCAAGGCAAAAGAAGCTTATCGGATGGGGAAAAAAAATGTCGCTACATTTTATGCCCAGCAGGTAAAGTGGAAAACTGATAATAATAACAACCTTTTTTTTGTCATTTATGATATCTGAATAATCTTCAGATAATTCTTTTTTTTTTTTTTTTAAGATTTATTTATTTATTTATACAAGCACTGGGTACCGTCAGAAGCGCGGGAGGGTGAGAGAATTCACCAGAGCCAGAGCGGGGAACAGAACAAGCAGACTGATGAAATACACTGCTGAGGGGAGCAGCGGGTGTGGCAGGAGAGGTCTGCGGCCATGGGGACCCTTGCCGGTGGCCAGCGATCGAACCGGCGCTGCAGAGGCTGCAGGCAGCTTCGCAGCCCAGTGTTCAACTGCTGCGCCACCAGGGAGGCCCTAATCTTGAGATAATTCATATTTGTATTGTGTTCTTTTTGGGGGGGGATGTATAGATTAAATAGGTGATGAAAATAAGGTGTCCTAATTTTCATAAGAGATGGATGTTTCTGAGAATTTCATCTCTCTTTGAAATATTCCATTTCCGTGGTGCTATCATGAATTGCAGTCCATGAATTCTGACAATTCATATTTTCTTTTAGGTTAGATTCTCTCAGATTGCAGTTTTCTGTAGGAAAGACAGCAGAATGTTAATATTGACTGTATAGGGCCTTGTTTGAAATTTTAGTAATGTATCAGTAACTTTTATAGGTTTTTTTTTAAAGAATTATTTCTTTATTGTAAGATTTTTATTTTATTTATTTTTGCATAGAAGGACTGGGGTGTAGGCCAGAGGTGCGGGGGAGGGGGATGAGAGGATTCACCAGAGACAGAGTGGGGAGCACAACAACAGGCAGATTGCCTGAAATACACTGCTGAGGGAGCAGTGGGTAGGAGAGGTCTGCTGTGCCATGAGTGGATTAGCTCCCTGGCAGGGGATCAAACTCAGGTCACTTTGCCATGAGATGCCTCTCGTGGTGGTACCGCTGAAACTTAACCCCTAAGCCATCCTGGACACCCCCTCACTTTTATAGTTTGAAAAGAAAATTACGTTACTATATTTCAGGGAAGCAAAATTTGGCATGGTATTACAAGAAACATGCCTGATATACTTTTAATTTTTGTGGTTCCATATGGCTTACTTTTTCATGATAGGCCAGCAAAGGTATCAAAATGGTATAACCCTATGTACCTAATAACAAACCATGTGAAATGACTATAAGGCATTGAAATCAATGAGACCCAGAATTATCACAGGGTAAACCAGTGTTTTCCTTATGAAACAGGAGGTGTTTATTTAAGTTTGTCACATAATTTTCAGTCCAGAAGATATTTTAGAAATGTGATTCAGTAGTTTTATGAATTTTATTATTGATTTACTGAAATTCAACCAAATTTTGGTGAATTCTTGCCTATTAACCAATTGCATGATGGGTTAAAATTTTAGATTAACTGTTCTCTCTCTATCTCTCTCTCTTTTGGCTCTACCAAAAATGAGGCATTTTTTTTACTTCCTCATCTACTTAGAGTAACAAATATCAAAAGCATTTACTGGTGATGTGTTTATAATTCTAGGGTAGTCTCCATGAGCAGAAGATGAAAGAAGCCAATCACCTTGCTGCTGTGGAGATCTTTGAGAAAGTCAATGCCTCCCTGCTGCCACAGAATGTTTTAGACCTCCATGGGTTGCATGTGGATGAGGCTATAGAACATTTGACGACAGTTTTACAGCAGAAAACTGAAGGTAGGACTGTAATAGTGACAAATTTTCTATTGATTATATTGGTATATCTTGCAAATTCTGGAGAGACTCTTTATCATGCTTCCATTTGTGTGTACTTCACGAAATATGTTAAAAGTATCTTGTTGGTTTAACATTTGTTTCCTTGTATGTTTATTAGCAGACATTCTTTGATATAGAGGATCCCACTTCCCCAGTTGTTTTTTAAAATAGAATTTTAGAAATCTTGGAGAAAAATCTATAAAACAATAATAAAGATTAAAAAAGATAATTTAAGAACATTTAAAATTTATTGCTTAATATGTAGAAAAGATAAACTTATGGGAGTATTATAAAAGAATATGCTTTCTATAAAGGATGAATTAATCATTTACTCAGTAAAAATTAGATTATAGTCTAGGTATCAAAGAGTTACAGACACAAAGTCCCTGTCTACGAAGTGTTCTGGTCCAGGGCAGTAGATAAAATAGTTACATAAATAATTAACATTGTGATAAGACAGTACAGATTGCTACAAAATCCCTACATACTCTGTCCCTTGCTTGCCTTTCCAATCTCATCTTGTGTTTTGGTGCTTCTGTATGTTGACCTCCAGACTGTTAGGTTTCCTGTAAATAGCCTCTGTTAGTCTTCATATATATTACAGTCTCTATAAAAAGCTTATTGTATAATTTATTGTTAAATATCTGTCTTTCTGACCAAGAATTGAGTCAGTGATGATTATTTACTTTATGTACTATCTTTCATTCCATAGTCAATGAAACTTGAATAAAAGATTGAGTAAAAGATAACTGACAATTTTAAAAGTTTAATAAAATGGAAAATAGTAAGTGTTGTTAAAGATGTGGAGAATTGGAACTTTTATATGGTGTTGGTGGAAATGTTAAATGGTCAGGTTAAGCATACATATCATATGACTCACAGTTCTGCTTCTAGATATGCACACAAGAGAATTAAAAGTACAATTCATAATAACAGAAAAGTGAAAGCAACCCAAATGTCCATCAACTGATGATTGAACAGATGCAATGTGGTCTATCCATCCATTGATAGAATATTATTCAGCAATTAAAAGAAATGAATACTGGGCCTCCCCTGGTGGCGCAGCGGTTGAGCGCTGGACTGCGAAGCTGCCTGCAGCCTCTGCAGCGCCGGTTTGATCCCCGGCCACTGGTGAGGGTCCCACATGACTTGTGGACCTCTCCTGCTGCACCCGTTGCTCCCCTCAGCAGTGTATTTCGTCTGTCTGCCTGTTCTGTTCCCCACTCTGGCTCTGGTGGATTCTCTCACCTTCCCATGCTTCTGACTGTGCCCAGTGCTTGTATAAATAAATAAATAAATAAATAAATGAATGAATCTTTAAAAAAAAAAATAAAAGAAATGAATTATTGATAAATGCTACTGTATGGATCTACCTTATAAACATTATGCTATATGAAAGAAGGCTGATACAAAGGCCACATATTGTGTAATTTCTCTTTGTATAAAATGTCCAGAATAGATAAATCTATAGCAACAGAAAGTACACTGGTGATTGCTGAGGCTGGAAAGCAGGGAATGAAGAATGACTGCTAATGGCTATAAAATTGTTTTTGAGATGATAGAAGCGGTAGTCATTGCACAATGTTATAATATCCTAAAAACCACTGAATTCTACATTTTAAAATCATGAAGCTAGTTATGTGAATTTCATCTCAATTAAAAGTAATTACAGGGGAAAAAGAGTTAAAGCAACTTGTGTAAAGTGATGTGTGGTCTGAAACAAGAACAAACTTTTCTGGAAGCCAAGCCCATCTTGTGTATGCAGCCACCTATGGTAGCTTGTAGTTACTGTAAGTTCCCACCAGATGGTAGTATTGTTGACTAGACAAGAGGGAAAAATTTGTGGCTCTACCCTTCCTTGCTTTTAGTTATAAGATGAAAGGATTAGGAGTAAAAAATATTAAAGTAGGTATCCAAAACATATACCTTCTAATTGAAATATACACCACCACCATCTATGAAGTCTTTTTGCCCCAAATAAACCAGAAGCAAATATAGCAGGCCTTTAGTTCTAACTATCCTTTGATAGAGACTTATAGGGAACAGAGGAACATGTTGAAAGGCACCATGGGGATACAATACCAGCAAAATCCAGACTGTGCAAATTTAGTGTAAATAATCTATTTCCTAACAAATTGTAAAGAAAAACATGGGGGAGAGAGCCTTCAGATTAAAAGTTACTTAAGAAAATAGTCAACCAAATGCACTGTGTATTTGTTTTAACCCTGATTCATACAAATCACTGTAAAGACATTTTTCTGAGACTATTGAGGGAAATATTTAGCCACTTTTAGAAACTGATATTAAAGAACCATTAAAAATTTTGTAAGACATACTGGTAGTTATATACATATTTAATAGTCCTTGTCTTTTTGAAGTAAATACTGAAATTTTTATAGTTTAAATGATAAGAAGTCTGAAAATATGGCTTAAGTAGTTTTGTTAAACGTGAGAAAAAGTGGGAATAGCCTAAATTTGGGGAGCCTACACACATACATGAATTCATTCTACAAATATCCTTTTTTTGAGGCTTGTGAATCAACTAGAGAACCTTTTCAGAGTAGTAAGTGAATTATTGAAAGGTGAGATGGTGTAAATAAATGACCTAATAATGAGGGGAGTGGCAGTGAAGGTGTCATTAATATTATTAGTCATTATCCTTTCAGAGAGAACTGAAGATCTCCCTCTCTCCCTATAGGGGAAAAAGTCCCACTATAGTCTTTAAGCAGATAAATTGCTATGAATCTTCCATACTTATAGCATAGATAAAATATGTATTTTGAAATATTAATTTGGGTCTTTTTGAAGCAATAAATTCCTAGATATCCATGAAAATGATTTCATATGTGTTTGAGTAGTTAAGGTTTACTTTCTGTTGAGAATGTAAAATGAGTTTTAACTGGTCCAATTTCTGTTGTACAGAATGTAAGCAGAGTGGAGGTAAGCCCTATCTTTCTGTGATTACGGGAAGAGGAAACCACAGCCAGGGAGGAGTTGCTCGCATCAAACCAGCCGTCATTAAATACCTCACAAGCCATAGTTTCAGGTGAGTATAGATTTCTGTTGTTGCTAATGGCAGTTACCCATATATAGCTAGTAAATACTGAAATATGCTCACAGTGAAGTGTTAAAATAGTTAACTAAATTTAGCCATCTGATTTTGGAAATCCATGCTTAAATTATAATGTAAAATTTTCTGCTGGATTTATGATGTCCATTAAATCACAAATGGTGGGGAGGAGATGTTTGTTGTTGACATGATCATCTGATAAATTTTTATCATAAATTTGAAATCTTAAAGGAACGTAAAATTTAATTGGGTTTCTTTGATAATGTATTATCCAGCATAATCAAATTATCCATATCATAATTTAAGCTTTATTTCATTGAAAGAAAAAAATGTATTTGTGGGTTTTGTAAGGAACTGATGGCTTCTGCTAAAATATAGTTATAATTTGGTTGTGTTTAAACGTTAGCAGAAATGTACCAGATAAGATGAATTTATGCATCTTACTAAATATAAGTTAAATGTCATTAATGATCTGAGCTGACAAACATTAGGTGATTATTATTCAGTAATAGAAAATGAAAAGAAATGTCCAAAAATAAAGATCTGTTGATAGATATATTCTCAGAGAAGGTTTATCATGAAGTACCCTTCTTCTCCCAGTTCTAGCTTCAATTAGGGCAGCGTATTTTGTTTATGCCATGTACTAAAGTGTTGCTAGACGAGTAGCTTAATTCTGAGCCTGAAAACAGATGACGTTTCTGTCAGGAGTAGTTAGAGCAAAAGGGGTAGTTACACCAAAACCATATCATGTTGGGAGTAATGATCGGTTTTTGAGACCAATGTTTCTTTAAATAAATTTCAGACTGAGGAAATGGAAAGATTTCATGGCTTGATGAATCAGTAACCTATTATATTGGAGATTTCTTCTTGGCACTGACTAATGCACAAAAATAATGTAATGTAGACATCACCTTCTCCTTTATACAGCATGTTCTTTTTCATGAAGGTCAAATTCAGGCTTGACAGTTTTAGAAAATTCCAATTGTGATAACTACTAATTTAGGAGTAAACCTTAGCTTTAGGATTGTATTTATTTTTACAATAGATTAAAAGGACCAAAAGCATAAATATTGGTCCTGAATATTGACTTTTTATTGACTTAATAAAGGAGAGTACTTTGATGATATATTTAGCATAGGTCCTTGGGATTGATTATAAGATGTATTTCTTTATCATTGTGAAATTTATCTTTAAAATAATTCTTTTCTCATTTCTGCAGGTTCTCTGAAATTAAACCAGGGTGCTTGAAAGTCATGCTAAAGTAAAATAAATGTCCTTGACTTAGAAGTGTGAAGGTTTGTAGGTTAGAATTAGTTTTATTTGCAGTAATTTAGTCAATTTTACAGTAAATGAGTTTTATTAGAAATAATGTCATTATAAAACAGAAAAACATGATGATGTTTTTCAAAATGCAAGAATTTAATTTTTTACTAAATTAAATACCAAATATGTTGTCTGTTAAAAATGTTAGAGGTTTTTATTGATTACAAAATGTCTAAGAAAATTAACAGCTGCAGTTTTTAAAGTTTGAAGTGCTCTGATTCTCTCGGAGAGAAAATGTTACCTTTGTAGTAATTGTTTAACCTTTACTAAAATTCTAATGACTTCCATGAAAGGTATTTAACATGCTATGAGACCTGGTTAGTAACCTTCAAAGACTTGTGAAAAAAGAAGAAATAGAAGGAGTAATGTTAGTAAGGAGATAAAACAAAAACTCTTGAATGTGTTTTGATTTCAAAACTAAATACATAAAAATCATTTTATTATATCCTGCAGAAAGGAAAACATAGTATTGTACTTTTTTCTGTTTTGTATATGACCTTTTATTCCTTTCTTTTGTGTGTTTGCATTTTCTGGGAGGAAAGTTGGGATCTGAGATTATATTGCAGTTTTATACCTTCTATCGACTTAAAAGATTTGAGAGAAGGAGAAATGGTTAGGTATCAACCAAGTGTTGCTGTTTTATAGAACTGCTTCTAGAACTGTGTATGTGGTATTCAGGACAGTGTTAAAGAGCTATATTTTATATTTAAGGCATGTAACTTCTAAACAGCAGTAAATCAGAATCCTGTTAACTTAAATGTAGAAAACATTTTTTATATAATCATAAAAGGAATCCTTACATCTTAAAATTTTTTTACGTTTATTTTTAAAAGTCAACTTTCTGAAGGGAAACTTTCATTAACTTTTGTTTTTTTTTGTGAACTAAAATGTCCTATTAGTGTGTTAATTATATTTTCACTTACACAGGTTTAATGTTGTAAAGTATAATTTTCCAATATGAGGCAGTGGCTTAAATATATTTGACTTTGGAATGGAGAATGTTTTCAGCATATATAACTTTAGCATACAATTGTGTTGCTTTTTGATATGCTTAAAAAAATCATTTAGATCAAAAATGGTGGAATTTGGGCTGTTGCTGAAAGAATCCTGAATTACTGAATGATTTCCCAAAAGAACAAACATTACTTGAAAATAAAATTCAAAACCATGTTTTTTTTATAAATCACAAAAGCATGCTTTTAATGAGGAGCTGTATTATTGAATTTTATTTCCACACACATTGTTTTTTATTTAGAAATGGTTAGTCATTGGCATTGAAGTATTGTTCACATTCTTTTTTTGTAATTGTTAAAAGAAAAAAGCCAACAGTTTGACATGTTTTTGTAATGCCTAGAAGAATTGTATATATTAAAAATAAAAGTAATTCTTTTAAAAAGTTATTACAAAACTGTAATTGTTAGTTAATGAAGTATTTCTATATATAAATCAATCTGATTTAAGAGATCTGAATAACAATACTAAAACCTGGAGTTATTAGAGTATGTGCAGCTGCATACTCACTCTTTGTGCTTTTGTATTTCCTCACTCAGTTTAAAAAGATCATCTCTTTTTGACCACTTCAGCTAGACTTATTTCAATATTATAATTAATGTGAAGCAGTGAAAAAGAACAAATGAGGTATTTTGTGGGTAGAAGTCAAATGTAAGAAGCTATGCTTTTATACTTTATTAACTTTAATTTTATGTCTTATTTTGGTAAATCTAGTGATATTTCTTAATCATTATTTATAAATACATAGGCAAATTTTGAGCATCATAAGTGTTTTATGAAGTTGTTTAATCCTAAACTGCCTCCCATCCTACTATCTGACATAATTTAAGTGACGCATAATTATGAAAGAAAATTTTATAATCTCTCCTTTCTTGTTATGCCCATTTCTAAATCACATATGCCAAATGTAAAGATAGTTTGGGGATTATCAAATTTTTCTCCTTGCTCATGTCTAAATATTCTGTGTATCAAAGCAAAGAGTGTATGAATTATCTAAGTTTTCATGTACTAGTGTATTTGTGCCAACACATGACTCTTTAGAGGGCTGTTCCCAAGAGTGTTAGTATTTTAAAAGTACAACATTTCTGTATTTTGAAGGTTTTAGTAACAGTTTTATCCTTTCAGTGGTCTCTTAACAATATCTACAAGGGGAATAAAGAGAACTAATGTGAAATAGGACTGAGGGGATTCTTAACAGTATTTTAAATCCATTCACTTCCTTGATTCAACATGAGAAATAGAAGTGGGTGGCCTTATATTTATTGGCTGTTCATATCTCTGTTATTTTTAAGTTGGTATTTTTTAACTTATCAGTGTTTTTATACATTTGCAATTCTATAGCCTTTAAATATAGGACATATAGTGGAAATCCTAACATTCTTTAAACTGTGTATTCTAACATCTTTTGAGAAGACAAGCTAAACAGTACTGTTGGATTGTTTCCAGTCCTTTGTTTCAGTCTTTTTCTTTTTAAATTCTTATTTTTTGTATGTTTAGAAAAAGGACACATATAATAGTAAGACTGAATTATTTCTGAGCTGGAAATTGGAAACCTTGAACTCAGGAAATTGCTTTGACAATGTTTTAACTGCTCTCAATTAAAAAAAAAATGACAATGTATATATAAAAAAGACAAAAATGATGTGTGCTGTTTTTTCCAAGTGCTTTTTCTAAGTGCTTTTCCATTGTGCAATGAGGTGAAGTTTGATAATTTTTCTGTGTGGTGGTTAAATATTGCTTATTTTTGTTTACATGGTAAAGAAGAAAACATCTAAATGTTTGTGTGGCCAGAAGTGCCATTTAAAAGGTAAAAGTAAGTTTTGTAGAATGTATGTTAATGGTGCTTATTTTTAAAGTGTAATTCAAGTTTACAGTATTGCTTAATGCCTCTTTACAGAATTTAATAGAGAAACAGGCTAGAAACACATCTACATTTTCAAGAGCCTTTTATAACTTCACATTATATGATAACAAATTATATTATTTTCCTTAAAGTTGAGCGATTGACTTTAATGGTCCAAATGATGAACCTGTTATTAACAAATGATTGAATTAACCATCAGACTTCTTGTTAAAATACAATATTGCAGCTGTCTTAGAGAATATATTATAAAAATGTCAGCCAGTATACCAGAAACAAAATGTTTTTATTTGTACTATAAAAAAATGTAATTTTGCTGTTAACTGTACTTTTTTATTAAAAATGTTTTATAACTTTGCTTTTAAAATTTCTTATGAAACCATTTGCAAATTACATACTTAATTTAATAAAATACTTTAGCCACAGTCCAGTGTGAGGAAATCTTTCATTTGATGTGGTAGGATTAGTGGTTTAAATATTAAAAGGTATTTTTATGCATAACTTTATAATTTCAGGGTAAAGAGTCACAAGAATGTTATTTCTGTGCCACAGCTTTTCTTCTTGTTTAACTTCTCTTGTTCTAGCAAACAGGAGTCCATTTTTGAATAAGATAAATGGATTAGTTAGGTTTATCGCTTCACATCCTTGTATCTTTTGTCTCTAAGGGACTCAACTAATTATTTATTTTAAGATTTATTTATTTATGCATACAAGAGCTGGGGTACTGGCCAGAGATGCAAGGGGTGAGAGGATTCACCAGAGACAGAGTGGGGAACAGATCAGGCAGACTGACTGAAGTACACTGCTGAGGGGAGCAGCGGGCGAGACAGGAGAGGTCTGCTGCACCATGTGGGTTGCTCCCTGGCCGGCCCGGGATTGAACTCGTGCTGGAGAGGCTGAGGATTGCATCACAGTGTGGTGCTTTAACCCTTTGTGCCACCAGGGAGGCCCTGATAAAGTATTTTTTTAAAGCACATACATACTTAAAAGCAAAAAGATACTGGAATCATGCCACCTAAGGTCGAGAAAATGTATTTCTATCAAACCTGGTGTTTTTCCAAACAATTATCTAAGTGAAATCCTGAAGGATTAAAGACATAATTAATGACAGAAAAAGATATAAAATTGGCAATGAAAGATAAGTTTTAAGAATTCATTTCTGAACCTGGATGAACCTTAACATAGAATATTTCTTAAGTTTGCCATTGGCTATTTTCCCCCACAATTAGACAACTTTGAAATTGGTATTCATGTTAATATGTGGTATCTGAGATTCCACTTAAATAGAAGTAATTTTGGAAAACATCTTTGTTACATAGTGGTGGGGAGGAACTTAAAACCCCAGAAAGAGCACCCCTATGTTTATAGCAGCACTATTTACAATAGCTAAGCTTTGGAAACAACCCAAATGCCCAAAAATAGATGACTGGATCAAGAAGATGTGGTACATATACACCATGGAATATTACTCAGCATTCAAAAAAGATAAACACATGCAATTTGCAGCAACATGGATGGCGCTGGAAGGGATCATGCTCAGCGAAATAAGCCAGAAAGAAAAAGAAAAATACCGGATGGTCTCATAGCAGGAATTTAGAAAACTTAAATAAGGGACCAGGAAAATGAATATAAGAAAGAAAATATCAAAATCGACAACTATGAACCAGAGACACTCTATGGGGGGTGGGGTGCGGGGAAAGGAGGGCTTGGGGTCAAAATAAGGGGGTTGTAATTGTAAGGGGAATATAAAAAATAAAATTTAAATTAAAACAAACAAACAAAAAAACCCAGAAAGAAGCCATAAGACAAGAGATAAATTTGAGGACAAAAGGGTTTTTTCCCACTGAAGAATGTCATTAGGAGAAAATATTTGCAGTGTCTAAATGACAAGTGACGAATTTCTTAATATAAGAAGAACTATAGAAATAAATTCTAGTAGGAAAGTAGTCAAATTCTACTTTCACAATATTTTTGTTTACAGAAGGGAAACAAAAAGCCAATAAGCCAATAAAGAGATGCCCTATTTTATTCCTAATAAGTACAATTAAAATAATGAGATATTCTCTCATGCTTATTAGTCTGGCAAAATGCAAAACTGGATAATATTAAGCTTTACTCATGCACCACTAATGGGAATGAACACTTGTGAGAGAACTGAGAGCAATCAAGTAAGACTTAGCTCAATATTTGTATATCCTGTGGCACACCAATCATTGTTGGATATGTCCCAAAGAAATTTTTACAATGGGCTACAAAGATGCAGCAAATTGGGGGTAATAGGGCTTTTTGAGTGGGGGAAATGTGAAGGCGGTTGATAATACGCTATTGAAGGCTATGCAGGGTTTAGAAGCAGAGGTGGTTATGTACACATGGCAACATGGGTAAACCTTGAAAACAGTACTGTGTGAAAAGATTTGTAGCCCAATACATGTGTGATGCAAAACTAAAACCAAGTGGAACCTAAATCTGATCAAGGCTGTAGATCCAACAACCAATTTATAGGGATTACAGAGGAGAAACGAATATGTCAAATACCCCCATGTGGGATACAAACCATCAAAATTCAGACTGGGACAAATACAGTTTTGTCAGAAAGGGAAAGAAACTCAGGAAAGGAACCTATATGCTAAGACTTAAGAGGCAAATAATTGCAACTTGCTAAACTTATTTGGGTGCAGGTTCAGCAAAAACCAATTTTTAAAATGACAACGGGCAATGTGAACATTCCTTAAGGAGCTTTTTTTAGGCATCATGATGTGTTTTAAATTTTAAGATAGTCTTTGCTTTTTGAAGGAGAGATACATCTTGAAATATTTACATAAAGTATTTTATTTGAATATTAGATAAAATGGTTGTGGGTTACCTATGAAATAAGATTTGTCTGCCTTGGTAAATTTGAAGCTGGGGTTGTTAAAATATACTCTGCTTTGGAATATGTTTAAAACCTTTTTTTCATAAAAGATTTATTTATGCGTACAAGAGCTGGGGTATAGGCCAGAGGTGCGGAGAGGTGAGAGGATTTACCAGAGACAGAGTGGGGACCAGAACAGGCAGGCAGACTGAAACACAGTGCTGAGGGGAGCAGCAGGTGAGTCAGGAGAGGTCTGCTGCACCATGTGGGTCACCTCCCTGGCTGGGATCCAACTTGTTCTGTAGTGGCTATGGATTGCTTCATAGTGCAGAGACTTAACCTCTTGTGCCACCAGGGAGGCCCTAAATTTAAAACTATTATAGGGGCCTCCCTGGTGGTGCAAGAGGTTAAGTCTCTGCACAACCTGTGAAGCTATCCGCAGCCACAGCAGCACGAGTTTGATCCCTGGCCAGGGAGCAACCCACATGGCATAGCAGACCTCTCCTGACTCGCCCGCTGCTCCCCTCAGCAGTGTATTTCAGTCAGTCTGCCTGTTCTGGTCCCTGCTGTCTCTGGTGAATCCTCTCACCTCCCTCCCCGACCCCTCCACCTTTGGCCTGTGCCCCAGTTCTTGTATGCATAAATAAATAAATCTTTAAAAAAACTACTATAAAAAGTATCATTAAAAAGTTTATAGAAGAGTTGGAGAAGTGGAATCAGCTCTGGAAGTGACTTCCAGAGCACTGAGGAATTAAACTGCCATAAAATCTGCCACCTCTGCTGTAATTAAAAGGTGAGGAGGAGTCTGATGGCCACTGTGGCACCATCACAACTCTCTCAGCATAGCCAGAGCTGGTGATTAGACACCGGGAAAGTGTTGCAGAAAAACCTGATTATCTTCACAATTTGACTTAATAGCAGAATTAGCCATCACAGTAGATCTACGGCCTTCAACTTCTGCTTCCGTCTCATAAAAGTGTATCCAGTTACTGGAAACTCTATTTTTACCTGCAAGGGATGGTGAAGGGGAGAGGTGGAGATGTTTGGGAAATGTAGTTTACAACCTGCCAGCCTCTATAGTACACAATAGCTCATTAGAAGTAAGTGGAGTTGGATGATGAGTTATCCAATATTCACTTCTCAGACACTAGCAATAAAATCGACATATTTATCCCCCAAATCCTTGCATGTCAACCGGGATATGTGAAAGTATGCCAAGGTATCACATGTCCACGATAAACTTAGTATCATGTACCTTATTTATGAAAACAAAAATGAATTAATTGTGGGGAATAATGCATGTCAAAATTATTTTTCTGGAGTGCCTTTCCCTAGAATAGTGGTTAAACTTTTATTAAATCTGAACAAGAATCATCTGCACTGTACCCCAGCTCTTGTATGCGTAAATAATCTTTTAAAAACATCTGCAAAGTGCTTAAATTACAAATTTCTCCCTTCCCTAAGGCTTCCTTAATCTCATTATGTCGGGTTCAGCATTTTAAATAAATACCCCAGTTGACTTTAATGCAGATGACCATACCTTAAAAAGTACCCTTTTGGGGGCAGCAGCCCTTCTGCCCACCTGTGCCCATACAGGTGTTTCTCTTCACAAACCTGTCCCTTTCAGGGGCAGCTTTTTCTGCCCACTGTGTCTGTTTCCCTCCTTTTTATAATAAACCTGCCCTTTAATATAAAACCTTTTGTATATATTAAAAAAAAATTACCCCTATTGGGATTGAATGCCATAAAGACATCATCTTTTACTTGTAAATTTACATGCAGCAATTTATTTAATCCATGTAACAAGCCAATGAGAGAAACAGGCACAAGGAGATTAAGCAATTTGCCTACGATTACACAGATAAGAGGTCATGGAACCAATATTCAAATCAAGACAATGAGGTTCAAAACCTGTGCACTTAACATGCTGCTGTACTACTTTTGAGGAGTGGTCTAAGAAGCTCTGACCTAGAATTTTTTTTTTTTTAAAGATTTATTTATTTATTTATACAAGATTGATTGATTGATACAAGCACTGGGTACAGTCAGAAGTGCGGGAGGGTGAGAGAATTCACCAGAGTCAGAGCAGGCGGAATGACGAGGTACACTGCTGAGGGGCGCAGCGGGCGCGGCAGGAGAGGTCTGCATGCCATGTGGGACCCGCCTCCGGTGGCCGGGGAGCAGCTGGGGATCGAACCGGCGCTGCAGAGGCTGCGGGCAGCTTCGCAAACCAGCGCTCAACCGCTGCGCCACCGGGGAGGACCAGACCTAGAGTTTTTCAGGGAGAAGACCAAGATACATTTTATCTGGACTATTGTAGTAAACTGATGAACCTTATGTTACCGGCAGTCTTCTCAAAGCCCGTGAGGCTTCATTGCAGATCCTTCAATGCCCTTTAAGATTTCGCAGAGTCTCTCTCCTCAAGGGTCCTGCAGCTTTCTTCCACTGCTGTTTTCCAAAACTACTCCTTCATTTTTGTTATGGCAATACCTCCTTTAGGTGCCAAAATCTGTATTCGTTCTCTATTGCTGTATTAAAAAGTACTACAAAATTAATGGTTTAGAACAACATTGAATATTATCCTCTGAAT